CTTAGGCGCTTGGAACAAAGGAAAATCTAACATTAGTTTTAAAATTGAGGTTTGCGCATGCGCAGTTCCAACTTTCTTATTTAGAAAAGCATTGAAATGAAATTCTTCTCATAAACTGAAATTGAAGTAGCACGTCAACAATGGATTGCCCATGTGCAATGCTATCTTTCGTATTTGTGGCCGGATTTCTACGATTTTAACAGAAGTTGCATCTTACAAATGGGAAATGAATGCAAGTGGAAATGCGCTTTATGTAAATCGTTTACGATTACTTTTTAACTTGTTTAGATATACAGGTCGATAAAACCTTTTTTCTATACCTATCGATATCTTTAATCTTCTGGAATGTTGTTTTTAAATAATTCATGTAGGGGTGGTAGATTTGTTTATTTGTTATAACTTATAGATAGCGCAAACGTAATATTTTCTCATGTACATATTGCGAATGCCGCTTTAATTACGTTATAAAAATTACCAATTATGTTCCAATCGCTTTGGGGAATTTCCATTTAACTTAGCTAATGTTAGCGCAACTTCACTACAGGGTGATAATTAGATGCAGATATACAAATATTCCCGCATCTTTAACAAATTTAGATTAGCTTAGCCAGGCACCGATTTCCAGCATAAGCCATCGAATGACTAAATAGAGCAGAGTAGGCAGACATACAGAATTTTCACTTTACCCAAACGCATAATTCGATTGATGTTGTTATGGTCTTAGGGGTCTATCAAGCCGACATTGAAAACGTTGACTTACTCTGTACTTACCGTTGGCAACTCTGGGAAAAAACTACGAGCAGAGCCACCTACCTTGCACGTCGAAACGATGGACATTTCGTGGCACTTTTGAATTTGGATGGCAGTCGGCTCGATATGGGTGGCACGAATGAACTCCTACGTTGTGTAATCGGTTCTGGTATGTGTTGCGACGTGAGACACAATCGGGAAGGGAATTAAATAAAAGACAGAACTTTTGTGCGTAAGAAATGACCAGAACAATATTATATATATTACGCACACAACAAGACCATACCAGGCAAACCTTCTACGGGACAAAAACCCCGGCATAGGCCCCACAAATACATGAAATAAATCACCTACAGCAATAAAATGCAAGAGAAAATACAAATAAATAAAATATCTCAAATTGTATGATAAAAATCAAATGCAATTAAACAAGTTCATAAAAACAAAATTCACAAGACATCATAAATGCAGTGGAAAACCTGATAAATCAATAGGGTGTAGGGTAATCTGTAACTAAATGGAATATTTCAGAGAAATTAGTGCTGGTTTTTTTTGTTTTTTTTTTGTATTGAGCTTCGACAGCTATGGTCATTAGCTCTTGTTGCTAATTTAAATGTTATTGTACATGTCTATTACCTTCAAGTACGACATTACGTTATTTATACGCGACATACTAATAAAATTATCTCGATAATTATCACTAATGTTGTAATTGCTTCTTATAAGTTCTAAATGGCCACATTCAAAAATGAAGTGTACTACCGTTAATTCGTGTCCACATCTGGCACATATAGGAACTGGTTCTTCCTTCAGTAGGTATGTATGCGTTACTGCAGTATGGCCTATTCTCAATCTAATTAATTTTGATATGTCTGTTCTAGTGAGTGCAGGATTATAAGAGTAGTTGTAAGAAGTTTACTGCAGTTGTCAGCGAAGGCAGAATTGAGCATTAAATTTTCGCATGACATTTCAGTTCTTAATACCAGTTCGCGTTTCTGTAGCCAATCTGTCCTGAGTACTGTCACTTATCCCTTTGTCGAAAGTTCAGGACTTAGTTGATGAAAAAGAATTGTCACCGCATCCGAGTAACACAAAATTCTTTATCTCTTGACTTTCTATCTTGTGTACATAGGCACTTATAATAAAGGAAAATCAAACGTCAATTTCAAAATTTGGTTTTGCGCATGCGCAGTGCCAACTTTTTTATTTATGGAAGAGTTTAAACGAAATTTGATACATAGGCACTTGGGATAAAGGAAAATCAAACGCCAGTTTCAAAATTTGGTTTTGCGCATGCGCAGTGCCAAATTTTTTATTTATGGAAGAATTTAAACGAAATTTGATACATAGGCACTTGGGATAAAGGAAAATCAAACGCCAGTTTCAAAATTTGGTTTTGCGCATGCGCAGTGCCAACTTTTTCATTTATGGAAGAATTTAAATGAAATGTGATACATAGGCACTTGGAATAAAGAATCAAGATTCAAGATTTATTATTCCTGCTGGATTATAAATAATTTACAGGAGTCATACATGTAATATTTATAAGTATAAAATTGCAAACATCATCGAGCGCCAGTCTCAAAATTTTCTTTTGCGCATGCGCAGTGCCAACTTTTTTATCTATGCCACCATTTGTAACGAGTGGTATTTCGTGCCAAATTTCATTAAAAAATTCGAAATTCCTTGTTATGATAGTGCAAGTCACCCTGTATATTTCATTATTTGTTTCGGTTAGAAATTTTGTTTGGGCATTTCGGTTCGCTCAAGACTATGGTCCGATAGATTTAATTTCGCTCAGATTTAATTTCGTCGTGGGAAGAGTGCAAAGTTGATTGACGTCATCATGAGTAATGCGAGTTTTTTGTCGTTCGTTTATTAACTTTGGCGCCGTCTAGACCGAGAATAGGAGCGGATATAGCACCGAGCCATCAAGAGATAAGGGGTTTTCACGTCGTCAGCAGAAATCCGTGAGATCAGTTTATTCAGCAGTTCCTGGAGGTTGACGACGAAGTTAGAGTGGGTTAAGTCTTCTTTATCTAAACCAATGGGAGAATTTCTAGCGGGAGCCATTTTTGTTTTATGGTAATTTGGGTGTGGTTTTCTCATTTCAATTCTGAAGAAGGGGAGCGTTTTGAAAGAGACTCGCGGTTGGTACGTCGAGGGGTCAACACGTACCTTGAGCGTTCATTTTGAAGACTCGCGGTTAGTACGTCAAGCGGTCAACACGTACTTTGAGTGATCGTTTTGGTACACTTAGCGTTTTGAGCCACCGGTTTATTTCGGTTGCTCGCAGTTGCGTGCTTTTTGCACCCGGTTCGAAGTGTTATTTTCTTTTCACGTTGATTTTTTGGCGACGAAGACCCAGGTTCCAATCAGGTGATATTTTGGCGAACCCTTGAGCTTCACCCCAGTTTACTTTGGATGCAGTGAATCGCGTTAGGATACGTTGTGATTTTTCGAGGATATATAATTCAAAGTGCTGCCCTAGTCCTCAAGGCGCCGATATTCGGGATCCGCCCCAGGTGGAATTTCATACTAGTGCCGTACGGTCATTTGTCGAAGGAGCGCTGCGTTTTGGAGAGATATTTGCCCCAAGAAGAGCTGGTGAAATAATACGTCGAACCACCCAAGAACAAATCGCGGTTTACCGTCGGATAGTGATCATAAAAATTTGTGTTCTGCCGTGCCGCTAACTCAAAAATCGTCTCCCGCAGGCGATCCAAGTCTAAGAGCCGGTGGAAGGAAATAGTAGGGGTCACTGTTTAAATTAAATACACCTGCTGTGTAGAAACTTTGGCAACTAGCCGTCTCCCACTCGCCACGCGAAGGATTTCCTGGACTAAACTTCAGTTCAAACACTAAACTTTGCTTTCGTTCCGAGGAAGGATAGGCACCGTGGATTTTGTTTCCGTGTGTTAATTTCAAGCCACCTCCTAAGAAGTCACAGAGACCTAAGTGTCAGGTTTCATCACATCCACCCTGTACCAGAGGAAAGAGCAGTTCACAAGATCGGCTGTACAAATGTTGTAAAGGTTAGTCTAATTAAATTTGAAACATTCTGTAAAATTCCACTTTTTGGTAATTAAGCTATAGTAAAAAAAAATTTTTTGATTTGATTGTTTATTAAAGTCCAATGAACGATTACCAAAGAGTAGGATAAATTTTTGTGTTTATTTAAATAAGTCCCAGCCCACGCTGGAGTAAAAACCGATGACCTGTTGTTGCAATTTTCAAACTGTAGAGGATGGCCACCCCTTGAGTAAATTAGTCTCACCTGGTAGGATTTTTTATTTAGTTTAGTTGTCATTGTTAAGCTAGTGTTTTTACAAGGAGGAGAGAAGAACTGTGCTAGATCCCTGTAATTTGTTTGTATCTCTAATATCATTTCAATATATTATCTATTTGGTTTCAATGTGCCTATGTCTTTAACGAAGAACGAGGGGAAGGAAAGGGAGGAGTAGGAGTTGAGGCAGAAGTGAGAAGACTGGTAGGCGGCAGGTTAAGGTTTGTTACGCAGTTTCAAAAGAGTTAAAAGCCCACCGATTAGAGTTAGCCGGAGCATTTATTTTTATCGATTGAGCAGCCCGAGAAGAAGACGGTTTGCCTTGCCGGGCGGAACCGATGGTAATTTTCAAGTCCAGAAGGAACCCCCGTAGCACATTTAAGTGAAATTTGATACTTAGGCGCTTGGAACAAAGGAAAATCTAACATTAGTTTTACAATTTTGGTTTGCGCATGCACAGTTCCAACTTTCTTATTTAGAAAAGCATTGAAATGAAATTCTTCTCATAAACTGAAATTGAAGTAACACGTCAAAAATGGATTGCCCATGTGCAACGCTATCTTTCATATTTGTGGCCGGAATTTTACGATTTTAACAGAAGTTGCATCTTATAAATGGGAAATGAATGCAAGTGGAAATGCGCTTTATGTAAATCGTTTACGATTACTTTTTAACTTGTTATACGTTGCCAATACTAACGAGTACTTTCTATACGGTGCCAGTGCCAACGCACAGACGTCTAAAATGTCAAAAAGGGACGCGGTTACGGCTACCTATAAAGATCGGGATTTTCCTTTCGATTTAAAAATCATTATTCCCACGTTTGAAGGAACAAATAACATAAGAATATGGACTCGCCATTAAAAGTATCACTTTAACTCCTTATAATATAACATACTATTGTCGGCATAATTTCACCCCTGCAAAAGGTGTCTGCTGTTCGGGAATTTGCGGGATGGAGATCTGATTTTAACGGTAGCTTTATTTTCCAACAGTATATAATTAATAATCCGTAACGGGACGCTTAACCACCCATTCCTTAATTCCAGGAAGCTTCAAAACAGTTTTCTGCATGACCTGAAGACTGGGGCAATCCGCCAGCAGATCCCTTCCAATCATAAAGCTTAAGTAATCCACAATTCCAACAAAATGCACATCGGCCCACGTGAGCTAGAAATAGTAAATACTAAAACTATATTCGCATAAGTTAATTACCTTGCCAGCTGCAAGGTGGCTCTTGTTTTTCTTCGCGGCAGCCTCCATGCGTTTCATGTAGAAGGGGAGAGTCTCCTCGAAAAGCGGTTTTCTACGCCTTTCTTTAACGGCCGCATCTTCTTCGTAGAAATACTCGACAATTTCTAAAACGATTTAGTACTATCAGAGCTTTAAATGACCAACGAAACTTACTTGTCCGCAAATCCATCACAGTATCGACTACTGCATCGATTTCCAAGTCCTCGATGTCGTTAGCCCCCGTCAGTTTAACCTGTTTCGCCAGGTATCGACAAATGGCGATACTTTGGTATGCCGTAGTGCCCTTAAATTCCAGTACCGGAACTTGACCAAAGGGCGTGGTCGCTTTTATCTGAGGCCAGTCGTCCATATCGAAGCGGAAATCTTCAAATTCGATGTTGCCGTAGCTCATAAGAAGACGGATCGGTTCCGCCAATGCCTTAACCGGGCAATATGTCAGCTTGTATGCTGGTACCATTGCTAATATGAATATAACCAAAGAGTAATGGTTACTCTTTGATATAACTGAACAATTTATAGGCAAGGAGATAATCTCTGTGAACGTGACCCGACCCATGTTTACAAAAAGTTTCCTGGAAATGATCGTTTAGTGTTTTTTGCCATTTGTTGCCGTTTTGCAACTATTCCAAAAAAATTGCTTAAGGATTAGCCGATATCTGTTATGTATGTTATCGTATGTCTACGTTTTAATAATAACGATTGTTTTTCAATTGTTTCAAAGTTTATCCACGATAATATTTGCATAATAGTCAGGGAAATGGCGCATGCCATCTTAATAGGTCGGCACTACGAGTCAACAAGTATACATTGTGCACAATTTTTGTGCAGATAAAGCGCATTATTTTAACCGAAATAGCTTTTGTTTTGACATCACCAATGGATATATTTCTTGCATACGTCTCAATCGCCCATTGTGAGTACCCTCTTCCGACAATCCGTTCTTGAGGTATAAGGGAATACACCCGATCACGATAAGAGGTCGAGGAAGAGGGCTATGGTTGGTAGAAATTAATTCCTTTCGTTGAGACCTTTCATTTGAGTACCATGAAGGATAAAACTTGCTCCACTCCCCCCCCCCTCCCGCTCTACCCCGTACTTTGATAAGTGGACAGAAAGAAGGGCAACGGCAAACGGTTCCTTTCGTTGAGACCGTTAATTAGAATACAATTAGAATACAATAGCACATTTTCGTTAATTCTTAAAAAATGCGCTAAAAATAAGAGGAGAGAATATAACGGTGCATAGCACGCGACGGAAGTCGTCATCATATTACTTCCTTTGCGCGGGTCAGTTATCGACTTGACTTAATCATAAAACAAAAGAGACGATGTCAGTTTTGTTTTACACCACTGCCAATAATGGCGCGTTTCCTCCCACTCATATAACTTCCATTTTGTCCATTTCCGTTTCGAACCTTTTAAGAGGCTTCTATACCAGCGCAAAAACCCTATGTAAAAGTGTTTCGCGCCGTGTCTGTTTATTCGTAAAGAAAATGTAATAATGGTAAAAGTGAATGATTATTGTGTTTATAAAGGTGTAATCTAGGATTGTATCGAATTGTATTTTAAATAGTAACTTCAAATCAAACGATACAGAGCGATAAAGAATTGCTATTTTAGACAATATTCAAAGGGGTGTAGATCTTAAACAAAAAAAAGTAGCAAAACAAATTCGATACAATCCTAGCTTTAACCTTCCTTTGGTAAAATCCATTCACAGTACCTAACTGAAAATAGTATATTGAAAGACAAGTGTTACAATGCGACCTATTGTAATACGACTATCTTGTGGCACGAGTGGCGACGCGAAGCGTAGCCACGAGTGTCCGCAAGATAGGAGTATTGCAATAAAGCATTGTAACACGCGTTTTTCATACTATTTTTAGCGCATTTCCACAAAAATAAAAAAAAAATGCGCTATTGTGGCCACTTTGTTCGTCCGTCCGCTAACTTTGCGACGCTACTAGTTCTTTATCTTAAGAGCTATTGTTCTACTTTTTTCGCTATTTGGTTCGTTAAGGTGTCGAGTCTTGTACCAAGGAAGGAATTTTTTCTGTACCGCTTACAAAAAAAGTTATTGTAAAAAAAACAAAAAACCGTTTTTTACATGTTCCATAATTTTACACTTTTGCCGTTTATTAACGATCCTAGAGATCGTTTATAATTTTGCATTGCTATCTGTCGCCTGCCGGTTGGTCTCTCCGTCTGTTCCTTTGTCTGTCTGTCCATCTATCTGTCCGTGTGAACGATAACTTTGTTTAGAAATGTTCGATCGCTTTTACATCTCCGTTAGTTATGAACTGAATTGCATGAAATTCAATATGGGCATAGCTTTAGCCATATAATACGCAATGCCAAAAGTTGAATCGAATCGATTCAAAATTCACAGTGCCCTTTTCGCATCTCGACCATTTATAAACCGAATTGCAAACTTTTTTACTTATAAAAGTATTTGAATGAAATTTGATACATAGGCACTTGGGATAAAGGAAAATCAAACGCCAATTTCAAAATTTGGTTTTGCGCATGCGCAGTTCCAACTTTTTTATTTATGGAAGAATTTAAACGAAATTTGATACATAGGCACTTGGAATAAAGGAAAATCAAACGCCAATTTCAAAATTTGGTGTTGCGCATGCGCAGTGCCAACTTTTTTTATTTATGGAAGAATTTAAACGAAATTTGATACATAGGCACATGAGATAAAGGAAAATCAAACGCCAGTTTCAAAATTTGGTTTTGCGCAATGCCAGTGCCAACTTTTTTATTTATGGAAGAATTTAAATGAAATGTGATACATAGGCACTTGGAATAAAGAATCATCGAGCGCCAGTCTCAAAATTTTCTTTTGCGCATGAGCAGTGCCAACTTTTTTATCTATGGCACCATTTAACTGAAATTTGATACTTAGGCGCTTGGAACAAAGGAAAATCTAACATTAGTTTTAAAATTTAGGTTTGCGCATGCGCAGTTCCAACTTTCTTATTTAGAAAAGCATTGAAATGAAATTCTTCGCATAAACTAAAATTGAAGTAGCACGTCAACAATGGATTGCCCATGTGCAACGCTATCTTTCATATTTGTGGGCGGATTTTTACGATTTTAACAGAAGTTGCATCTTACAAATGGGAAATGAATGCAAGTGGAAATGCGCTTTATGTAAATCGTTTACGATTACTTTTTAACTTGTTTCTATTTCGGTGCTTTAATTTAATTAAAAAATCATTATCAGAAACTATAGGGAACATTAGAACTAACATGTTTTATGTTGGGAACACTTTTTATGCCGTTAAGTTTTAGGTTGGCAGCGTAGTAAGACTGACATTTTGAAGTTTAAACATGGAAGTACCCAACGAAGTACCTACTTGTACTAACTAGTAACTGCCAACTTAAGAGATGAGTTACCAAAAAAAAACGACTATAATCACTGTCTTTGTACAACTAGTTGTACAAAATCATCATTGTGACACCGAAATAGAAAAAAGTTTATTATGTACTTACCAGTAAACAGACACGGCCCGGGACGCTGCAACTGTAAAATTCTAGCAAAATTTTATTAGGAAAGTGCTGCCACGTCTTGCAGAATTCAAACTTAAGTTACGTGTTACCGCCCATTTGATAAAAGGAGGAGTTCATTCTTATCTTTCCAACATAATTTTAAATCTACCGGAGTTCTTAGCAAAATAATTTTCTTTCAGTTTTAATATGAACCCTTTAGGATAGGAAAGTAGGCAGTAGGCACTGTAGAAACTTACTAATACGTACAACAATGGAAGTACGACATCTCCTATCTCTGTGAATAGACGCTATAATGCAACAAAATATTATCCCCGATTTTCCGTCTGTCTGTCCGTTCATTTGTTTGTCTACGCACAGTAAAGCCTTGCTCTTAAATCACCTATCGATTGCAGGTTGTCGCTGATGTACCTTTGCTTGGGCTGCGTTTAGTTGTGCGTAGTACCAACAACCATTTGTGAAATTAAAGTTTTGGGTGCTACCTCACCCAATTTTGTGAAATATTGCCATTTCCGAAGTGACAGGTTGCACAATCATTTTACTTGCGAATCGGTCGAGTCGCAGTGGTAAAAAAATCTACTCAATTGAAAACAAATTGACTAAAATGAAATTAAAAAAAGAAAATTTGGGATCTAAGAAAAGATTTTCTTCAGTCACACAGATTGTACATAGATACATTTAAATTTAAACCATTTCCTAAATTAAGTTGGCTCACACAATAAGAAAATTAAAACATTAAAAATCTAAGTGCAATATCTACCTACAAACTTTCCATTAGGTTTTGGGGTTATAAAAATCGTTGAAATAAATTGGCCGTCCACTGGAGAGCAGCGTTCAATTGCTCCTGAAGAAAGTAAATTTGCAATAGGTATGTTTTTTAATAATGAGTTTTTCACCAGGCGGCCAATTTCTTTCTGCTGGAATATAATTTTGCAAAACATTGCTTATAGGTATTTTAAAACCTTTAACACACGCTAAAACAAAAGCGTCGTTTGTAATTGTCTCCCAACTATCAATAAAAAGAGATGTATATTTATCACTTCGGAATATCACTCTGCATGGGGAAAATGTTAATTACACTCAAAAAAGGCAGAATCGTACACAAAGAATTGAAGTCCCTAATCAATGCAAATGAGTTAAAACAATCAAATGAAAATTACTAACTGGCCAAGCTAATTCTACCCACCCCCTTCCTATACAGACTAACATTGCTTGAACTGCTGACATCGAAAATAATACATACATTTGTTGAATAATAAACCCATTGTTTCACAGTATAAAAAATGATTTCCAGCGGTGTCTCGATATACGCCAATGGTACTTGTCATTTAAACGGTGTCTCTATATACGCCAACGGTACTTCTTGTTTGGAATTTGAAATCGTGTCTATGAATATGTGTACAAAATTTGGTTCTAATCGCTTTAGCCGTTAAGCCGAAAATGAGAGTACAGGCAGTCAGACAGATTGATCGACACAATCGAGATTATGTTTGATTCGCATTCCTGGCGCTTTAAAACGTGTATTTCCGTCCCTGACTAACGTGCGTTGGTAAAAATCCGAAATTTTAAAAAATCACCGAGACGATTTTCGTATCGTATCGAGTTTAAAATGGAAAATGTCTACTTATATAGCTCCTAAACACCTTAAGAAAGCAACCCCGAAACCAATAATAAACCATTTGGGTTGGGCAAGCCTTCTTGGCTTTACAAGCTCCTGAGACGGGGAATTTCGACTCATAATATTCAGCCGTAGCGCTCTCTCATCATTTCTCTAGCCCTTCCACTACCACCAGTGGAATTGGGAGCCATCCCCGCGCACTTTTCAAATCCCATACACAGTGGAAATACACATAGGGATTTACGTGTATTGTTTTTCCCTATGTCTACTCTTAAATGGAAACATTTCTTCTGAAGAGCGCCTAATTTTATGCATCCAAAATAACTTCTTAAAACAAATAAAGATCTGGCTGTCATATTAATTAATTTGAATAAGAAGTTATTTTAGTTGCATAAAATTAAGCGCCCCTCAGAATAGCTGATTTTGTTATTTAATTTTAGGTTATGATGAGAGATATTAAATTCGGCCGCTATTTCGTTTAAGTTTCTTATGGAATTCTCTTCCACAAAAATGAAAATGTTCAGTTTCATATCCTAATAAACAGAAAATATACAGGGCAAGACCAAAAAGTAAATCTATGCTACTAAAGTTATTTTAAAAAACAATATACGCAGAGCATGGTAGAGATGCCAATTTTTTAAAGAGCAATGGCAATTTGAGATCAATATTAATTGAAAATGTGATATTTAAGAAAAAAATTAAAGAGTTTAATTGGAGAGGAACCTAAAAAGACGATAAAGTACTAAGGAAAGACGGAGGAATTTTGTGGAAGCTTTATTTTTCTGTACTGCATCGCAGCAAACGAGAGTGAGAGAGAAAGTAGTAGTCACTTCTGTCAGCACTCACCAAGTGCTACTTTCGAATTTTTCTCGAAATAGAAGGAGACGTTTTGTAGTTCTTGTGACAGGGAAAATGCAAGTTTGTTTATGACGCTACATTTAATATTATAAGTCTGTAACTGGACGTTTAGCAACCCATTCCTTGACCCCAGGTAGGCTTAAGACATTCTGCTGCATGACCTGCAGAGACGGGCAATCGGCTATTAAGTTTTTTCCACAAATGACATTTAACGTATCCAGGACACCAACGAAATAAAAATCGGCCCAGGTAAGCTAAAAACAATGCGATAAAAGAATTATCGCTAGCACATTAGGTGCTTACCTTGCCTGCTGCCAGATGCCCCTTGTTCTTCTTGGTGATGGCCTCAATGCGTTCCATATAATAAGGGATGGTTTCGTCGAAGAGTACCTTTCTAAGGATTTCCTTGATTATCTCATCGGTTTCGTGATAGTACGCGGATATCTCTAAAATTTTGGATTAGAATAATTGTAACTGAACCATGCGGCTGAATCACTTGTTCTCATATCGTTGATCGTGTCGACGATCGCGTCGATCTCCAGGTCCTCAAGATCATTCGCCCCGGTTAGTTTGACTTGCTTTGCCACGTAGCGGCAGATGGCGATACTTTGATATGCCGTTATGCCGCTAAATTCCAGCACCGGCACTTGACCGAAGGGCATGGTCGGCTTTATCTTTGCCCAATTGGCGCTTTCGAGACGGAAATCTTCAAACTCGATGTTGCCATAGCTCAGCAGGAAACGAATGGCTTCACCTAAACCTTTTACTGGGAAGTATGTTAACTTGTATGCTGGTGCCATCTTGTGTCACCTGCCGAACATTAATATTTATTACTATTACCAGATTTTGTGTACGTAGTTAGAGTTCTGTGTAAGTTTTCACGTGTATTTTTATTTTCACTCGCAGGAAGGTGGGTTTAGAAATCAATCACGATGTTTGTTGTCGGCTTGGGTGATGAGTCAGAGGGTTTTGTTTGTTTTGTGTGGGGACGTAATATATTTGATGACTTTCTTGCAGTGGTATTTTTCCACTGTCTTATTTTGCATAAATATCAAACGAGAATATTTTTCATGACTCTTGAATACTTGAATTTTTGTGTTATATGAAAAATGATATAGAATGTATCTCAAACCCCTAACCCTATATTATAATGAGACCAATATTTAAATATCGGTGTAGTCATAAGGTTCTCAATAACTCTTTCACGACACTCCTGAACCCTTCTGAAAACTCTAAAGAACTTTTTCTACGAAAGTGTAGAAACACGATTGTTTTTGTAGGTAAATTGATTGTGAAAACAGGTCTTTGAAACACTAGTGCGGCAAAAATATTTTCTGCACGCATTTTCTACACGCTAATAAACATATGCGAAGTAACTCTTTGTAATTGTATTGCTTTATTCACAGTTTCGTTATATAAGACAGACAATGGTAGAATTTTCTTTGCCTTCTGCTACAGAAAACGTTCTTGGGGCATGATTCTTGGAGTCGGGAATCGTTAGGTATCATTAAAATTGCATCTTGTTCTGTGAAATCCGTTACAGTCATTTTACAACGTTCGCTCCGACGGCAAGCTCCAGCCACTCCAAGGACGAGAGCAACCTGTAATTAAATTATGCTTATTTATGATTTAAAAATACAATAAGAAATTCACAAACCTTCATCATTACAAATGTTTCATCAGGCGCTTCTCTCAAAAACTTAGCGATTTGTTCTCTTATGAAAACGCTCCTTTCCGAAACGCTGCTTAGACTTTTGGGGTAGCAATTCATGCGAAACCGCATTAGCCATTTCCGCAACGTCCGGCGGGGTGCACATACCTTCTTCATCTTCAGTTTCGTCAAAATCTATCTTAACACTTCTTCACTACGCCACAAATTGTTTGACTTAAACTTACGATTTTTCAAACAATTATGTTTTGTCATGGCAACCCGCTTACTGGATCATTTACAATTGAAACATCCAACTACGATCAGACTATACGATTTTTTGTCGTTATTTGGCTAGTTGAAATTTCTAATTTCTAGAGAAGAATTTTTCACTTTCGTAGAAAAAATAGTATGAAACACGCATGCCGAAACGGTCATTGAAAAACTCGTATAATAGGAACACTCGCTGGCGCTCGTGTTCCTACATTTATACTCGTTTTTCAATAATTCCGTTTCTGCACTTGTATTTCAATGTACTATTTTGCACTCCTTCGTTCTAAATCGCATTTTCCCAATAAAACACGAACGTCGGGAACGTCAATTTTACAACTACTTTCGCGCACTAGTGCCTAAAAATTTAACGAAATTATCTATTTAGTGCGTATGATGGAAGAGTAAAAAAGAAAAAATAAATACACTTTACATCATTCCCTGTAGTCCACGGGCAAAAATAAGCGTAAACCAGAAGTTTTGAACAATAAATTGACATTTTAAATTTCTAAATTTCTACTTTATCGGCATAGAGGACTTGATTTTCAAAAGAATTATAATGTCGCAAAAATCTCGCGGAAAGGATTTGAATTTACATAAATTCGATTTAACCTAATCCGTGCAAAAAATAGAATACATGTTACGTGCGTGAACAGTATTTGCTTGATTCGCGCGAGATGCGTCGCTCGTGCGCGTTGCGCACTCGTGCCGCCAAACTTCGCGCTGATCTGCAAAATAACTGTTCCCGCACTAATAATGTAAATAACTATTTTACGGCCTTACAAGGCCTTGAAAAATTCTTTTCAAGGATGTTCTAAATTCTTCAGACTCTTAAGTCATGCTCTTGGCTCTTACAAACTGTTGAACTTGTCAAAAATATTTAATACCAATAAAGACTCTTCAGGACACTTCAAGGCTCTCAAAACTTATCTTTTATTTATTTATTTATTATTCCTCTCTTGTTCTGGGCCCTCAACAGGCGTGCGCCCAATTACAAAGTGACCCGCATAATGCTATTTAGAGGTGCCTCTACAGAAGGCCTTAAGTTGGTCTGTACTATACTGCTCCGGTATTTACCTTACGAATTAGGAAAATTCCAGGAAAACCTAATTCGGAGTAGTCGGCAGAATGTTCGAAAGTGGTCTAAGGTAATTCCCATCTCTGCGACAGATGAAAAATTCTTACCTCAACCCAGGTTCGAACACCCGACCTCCGGATTTATAGCCCAACGCTCTACCACTGACCCATAAATCCGGTAAAATAATTTGAGAACATTGGACTTCTCTTATTAGAGATATATAATAATGAAAATAGTGGCGGGGGGGGGGGGGGGCAATATTGTTAGTTTTTAAACTTTGAATCTTTAAAGCGCGATTTCTCTTATAACTGCATTTGAAATAAGAATGACAGATGACTCTAGACTCTAGACTTTAGTACAGTATTTTTAAGTGATCACTTTATCGCTATCCTTACGGTTAAGAAACGGCTTACCCTACTCTCAAACCTATTAGAATGTCATTTTAGCATAATGCTATAAAATAAAAGACGTGATAATTCTGTTTCTATAGAAACGATCGCGCCGGAAGAACCTAAGCTTACTATTTTTGACGTCCCTAAATTAAATTCAGAATTGAAAACTGAATTATATGGCTTCTGCTGTAAAATAAAGGTTTGTATTATGACGATAAAGAAAAACTAAACATCTCGTGAAAGTTAATTTTAAATTATCGTCTTTCACTTATCGTATTGTATAATAAATAACTATTAGCACACTTTTCGTCTCGCTTTTCGTAGATTATATATCTGTACTACTGATAATTCTTAAAATTGAACTGGCGGATGTGACGACTAGAATTTAAGTAGAAAATTATACACAAGGGAGATAACGACCTTGAAATCTATTTCCGTCCCACATTAACAAAAACGATGTTGAGGATTTTTTTATTTACAAAGACAGAGACCGTTACTTTAGTACCCTGTACCTGCTTCTTAAATTGAGGATCAGTTTTGAATAGTTTAAGTCAGTGGTGTTCCCATTAGGGATACTCCATACGGCATACGCCAGACATATAGCGTATACTCCCAATCAAGGTGCCACTGGACATGATAATTATACATCAAGCGATTTGAAGGTCGCTTTTTTATCAATTTAAAGCACTGAAACTGCATTTTTGAGTATCAAATTTTTATAAATTTATCAGAGGATGATCGCCCCCTTCCCCTAACGTGTTAAAGGGAACATCACACCACCCGCTCATAACTGAGTACACTCCCAAAGAAATTGATGGGAACATCACTGAGTTTAGTAGGCCCATCCTACTTACCTAATTCTTACGGAAATTGTCACTCAATCTTATTAAGGCACGCACACATACTATCCTTGCCAGGGATCTGTGCTCCTGCGTCATCATTTATATTTTATGGTGTAATATGAAAAAAGCTAGTCAAATTATGTCCGTAATAATTATATGTATAATCATATATATAAGAGAAGTATATGGATAAACGAGTGGACACGCCTATCGCCAACGTTAGTGGATGGAAATATACTTCTGTCATTAGTTGGGAACTAGGCGCTAATGCGCTTGCCTGTTATTATGTAGTGTTATTTACCAAGCATTTACTACAGTTTGACATAACGGATTGAGGTTAAATTGTTTGTTTTGTTTATGAGTTATTGAACTTTTGTTTAATTTTAATAGTAAAGAAGCCTTTCGTAGTTATATAAATCAGTATACGTAAGTGATACACAATAATTGTAAAGGAATATACCTAATGTTTGGCAATTTTAGTGTGTTCATCTGTTCATTACTTAGAAATAAAGAAATGCAGGTACTTGTGGGAAAGTGGATTCTTCGGTTTCATGGCACAAGTAAGTTACAATGCAATTATCTGCAATCAATTCATTTATGCCATACTTGTTATTAGATTCCCAAGTGAAAAAAGCAACAAGAATCGGTGACTGCAAGCATGTGAACTATCGGAATTCGATGATGTAAAAACAAGGTTGTGTTCTCGTCATTTTAACCGCTATGACTGCATTGATTTGGATGCACACAAGCATGATGGGGGTACGAAGTTATATGGGGGTCACTTAACACCTAAAAGATTTCCAACTCGACAATGTTAATTTTATTTTAAAATCAGTAAATGTCTAATTTAATTGTGTTTCTTTGAACATTGGTAATGTATCACTTTATATTATAGCTGATGCGAACTTATCCAATTTCATGTTATTTTCAAGATATAATCCCTATAGGTATATTATTTCAATTGCAATTTAAGTTTCTAAATCGTTACAAAGTTTGCCTTCGAAGTTGAAGGGTGTAACCGTAAACAAACTCCGCTGAGGAAGCTCGAAAGTTCTCCGTGAAAATGCTACAGTTTCCAAGCAGAACGATACGGAGTACCTTGAACCAGAACGCACTGGGTGGCACGTGAGCGCTGATTTGAGTTGGCAGTGAAATCATTCAAGTAGGCCATTGACTGCAGGTCCCGAATCCTTGTGTGCCGAAAACAATGTCGAGGGCACAAAAAGGGAAGATTCAAATTTTCGTCTCTGATCGGTGAAGATGCTAGTAGGGGAATCGAAGCGATATAGTCAACAGGTAAGAAACGCTTCGGCGACGATTGGTCTTGGGAGGGTGGGCCTCAGACAATAGTGATAGGAGTCGGCAGGTGAAATGGGGCCAATGTGGTGAATATGAACCTGCATGAAACGAATAGAAGTCTGGGTGAAGTTTCCAAATGGTGCGTGGTTGTGTTTACATATGGTAATTGCACACAATAATGGTTTAATAAAATTTTAACCCTATTTTCGAGTTATAGGTTATGAAATTTGAAATTGGCGCTACTTAAAAGTAGGCGGAGAGAAGTAAATATTTACTTGGGGAGTTTGCGCATACATCCAGAGTTGAGGACTAAGGAATAGGGCAGCTCTCTTTTATGGCGAACAATTTGCACATTGCAATCATAGGCGGTTATCCATATACTTCTCTTATATACAGGGTGATTCCTATAGTACCTGCCACCGTTTGGGAGCGTGTAGGTGGTGCGTAGGGGAGTATTTTGATATAGGACATTTGGGGTCGGAAATCTAAAATAAGGGTGCCAGAGCCAAATTTACCTTCTGGAATTTCGCGCCTGTAGGTAGGCAACCCAACCGGCCGGCGGTGCACACGGAGCGATCTCAGGCGGCGATGTGTGGCTGACACTTGATCAGAATTTTGTTTAAACCCACGAAATCCCGTCTGCAACGACGCGTATCAAGTGAATAAACACTATGGCAATAGTATAATAATAGTTGGCTAGATGTAGGAAGTGCATTGAGAACAACGGTGGCCACGTTGAACACTTGTAAACGTTATTGCTTTTGACTGTCGTTTTCCCTCCTTCCCTCCCATGTCGCTTCCTCGCGCTAACTCGCTCTGCATCGCTCCGCGCGAAACGTCGGTCGGTTGGGTTGCCTACATACAGGCGTGAAATTCCAGAAGATAAATTTGGTTCTGGCGGCCTTATTTTAGATTTCCGACCCCAAGTGTCCTATATCAAAATACTCCCCTAGGCACCCCCTATACGCTCCCAAACGGTGGCAGGTACTATAGGAATCACCCTGTATATGTGTATAATATCCTTGAATGATAATGTATGCTCAGAGATGGCGGCAGCGGCGCTAAAAATCTTATTGACATTACGAAGTTTTGTTATGCTGTGAATTATCTGACGAATTTGTAAAGCGCAATAATTAATGGTCGGCAAAATATCTTAATCTGCGCCTAATTTGTAAATATCCAAGAAATTGCCTTACTCTAATTAAACTAATAATCAAAACAGTGTCATGTCAAATGAGTATCCAATTTTATAAACATGAGAAACAGGAGCCACCTTATTTTCATCGGTGTTCTCTTTTCACCGCATTGAATCCATTAATAGCGTACGTCGAACGCGTGAAATGCACTTTATTTATGATCTATCCTTGTTTGAATTGCGCGGTAATGAAATGGCATTATCAACAAGTTAGATGTTGCTTGATTCGTACGTTGATGACGCAGGGGCACAGATCCCTGGCAAGGATAGTACACAAACCACGGTAACCAATAAGTAACAGACCAACACTAGAAATACTTTCGGTTGCAATGTGAATCAGTTCATTGCACCAAAATTATGGCACACCCTTCACTGTCTACCTATAACGCATCAACAACAAATCTGTCTACAAAGGAAAATGACTAACTTCATTTGGAAAGGAAAACATTGGGTTTCTCACAATCATTTATGTTTTCCCATCCGACAAGGTGGACTAGGAGTTGTTCACATTCCATCCAAAGTAAAAACTTTAAGGATATGGTTGGCAAAAAAGTTAATAAGTTCTAACGTGGACAAGAAATGGCAGATTATCGTTAATTACACTTTAAGGAAAGCAGATTCTCTCGGTTTAACATGGCAGTGGTTGTTTTTGGAAAAAAGAATACCACAGATGCACATCATATCTGACTTAATCATGGAGGTAATTAAAACTACGCAGCAGTCCGACCTTAGTGTAAAAAATTTTGACCAGTCAAAAATTCCAACACTACTGTCTACATTATCCCCTCGAACGGTTCCACCAATTTTCACTGCAATTTGGGAACAAGCAGGATTCATTACGATAAGCGATTTTCGATCTGGAGGAACATGGCTACAAGAGTGCTCTTTAATTGAACGCCTTGAAACACCGTGCGAAATTTTGGAAAAGGAATTGGTAAACCATTACAAGAGGATTAAATCTATCTTCAACGACTGGTTTCTGGAACAGGACCCAACTCTCTCTAGCTATAACAACGTTTGAGTTTTCAAGTACCAGAATCGAGATTACGAATTAAGCTCTAGTTCACGGAAAAAGCTGCAAGAAAAATTAACAGCGATTTTTTTCCAATTTCAAGAGCAGCAGATATTAACCAATTACTGGTCGCAAAATCCCACCCATTGGCAGACGATGTTTAATAGTTTAACAACCGGGCACGTGTCTGAAATTGCATGGAGATTCTCAAAAAATCGGTTAGCTGATCCAATTTTTTTAAAACATGCAAATTTGAGGAGTGTTGATACATGCGTCAACTGCCCATCAATAAAGTGTGACGCTTTCCACATGATATTTGGATGTCCAAATACATTACGTGTTTGGGACCTAGTATCAAAAATGGTGAAAAGGTTGCTAAAGATTAATACCGTTGAGGACACTTTTTTTTTATGCGGAATAAAAGGTCGCACGAGCGCTCATACGGTAGCAAATTACATAATAAATTTGTCGAAGTTTACTATATACCACCTGACCATTGATGCCATGAAAAATGAACACCCCCCCCGCAAACTTCAGGACCTCTTTCATCAACAGACTCAGAAACAGAATCATACAGGATTACTTTTGGCATATAGGAAAAGGGACAATCGAAAGTTTTAAATACGGTGGTGCGTGAACAACGTAATATGTACAGTCAATGAATTCGAAACCATTGTATGGACTAATGACATGATTTTATCAGCATAACAAATTGTTATTATGTAAATATAATGTTACACATTTGTTAACATATTGTATATAAATCCATATAGTTTTAATAAAGATAATAATAATAATAATAATAATAAATTGCTATCCTTGTTGACGTCACAATTTACCGTATCCTGTTTATGGTGGGTTTATACCAGAGATATCTGGTTTATACAAGCATTACCATTAGCTTAGAATGGTTAGCATTACGCAATAAAATTTGATTTCGATTGGCCATTTCCTAATGATTTTTGATAGTGAACTGATAATGATTGTATCATACTCGTGAAAAACACATCTCTGCCAACCTTGACATATTTTTAGAGCATAGACCGGTCTTCTGTCTACAAAGACACTTAGGTTCCGGTTCCGCACTGCATAGACTTATTTTGTTCTGTAGCTTCAGTGATTTATTTTCGGTTCCGGTTTAGGGTTTCAACATAAATAAATACAAAATGCAGTATAGGAAATATAAAACACAAAATTAAAGTGCTTTATGGCATCAACATATTTTTTTGGTTGAATTGAAACATCTTTTTAGCTTGCATCTCTCGCAACTGCATAGGTTTTTCTACGGTTCCCTTACTTCAGCGGTAGTTTCAACTTTCCTCACATATTATTCCTCACCCTCGTGCGGATCGCAGTTCTTGGCACCTTAGCAATGCGAGATATTTAGGGGGGGCCTCTCATAAACATTTCTTCTATTTAAAATATGTTTTGCGTGAGCGATGATCATCTTCCACATGAATACTTGCTATTGGCGTTCTCACATGTACGTTTCGTGTTAACGAAAATCATGTGATTGAAGGCTGGAGTAGAGTCACGCCATTTTGATATTTCCTATGTATTTTGATGTGTTTTTGTACTACATTGATTTATCATGTTTTCCACTGTATTTATGACGTCTCGTGTGCTTTGTTTTTATGAATTTGTTTAATTGCATTTAATTCGATTACCTGAGATTTATCATACAGTTTGAGATGTTTTATTTGTGTACTTTCTCTTGCATTTCGTTACTGTAGGTGATTTATTTCATGTATTTGTGTGGCCTATGCCAGGGTTTTTGTCCCGTAGAAGGTTTCCCTGGTAGTGGTATGGTCTTGTTGTGTGCGTAATATATTTATTTGTTCTTGTCATTTCTTACGCACATAAGTTCTGTCTTTTATTTAATTTCCTTCCCGATTATGTCTCACCTCCCAACACGTACAAGAACCGATTACACAACGTAGGAGTTCATTCCTGCCACGCATATCGAGCCGACTGCCCTCCAAATTCAAAAGTGTCGCGAAACGTCCATCGTTTCGACTTGAAAGGTGGTTAGAGTTTTTTCTCAGAGTTGCCAACGGTAAGTATAGGGTAAGTCAACGTTTTCAGTGTCGGCTTGAGAGACCCCTAGGATCAATACAAACTGACATTATTCCATTTGCTAAAAACGGTGTAGTCACAGAGTAGAGCAGGTGCGAAGCACTTAGGGAGTAAATCAACTTCGAATGAAAAGCACCTAGTATAACACAACGTAGGTGTCTCATTAGTTAATGAATCTCTTCCATAGTCTAAGTTAGGAATCCTAATCGTACCCACTGACCTTTTTTTATTCAGGTCAGTGATCGTACCACTCACTGCGAGCCGACTGTTAGCAAGATTTGACAGTGGCTTGAAACGAAAGTAAGAATCATATCAAAGTTAGATGGCTGTGCTTGTAATGTTTCCACAGCGTTGCTAAATGCAGGTATAGGGTAAGTCAAAATTACAGTGCCGGATCGAGGACTCCTATCATCACAATCTATTGTTCTATTCCTCGTTCTATTCTAACGGCCGCCCCCCCCCCCCCCCCCCCCGTATCTACAACTTACAACGATGCACACATTTTTAAAAGTTGGCAACCACGCAATTTTTAGGAGGAAAAAGCGATTTGCGCCATCTGGAGAGCACGAACGTGGGTTACGTTTGTCTTGAATGACGGTCTCTAGGACGGTCGTGAACGCGTCGGTCAAGAAATGTTTGTTGTTATTTTGTTATTTGCAGGTAGTAATTTTTGCATTTCTTTATATCGTAATTAATTGTGTTTTGTATGCCGCATTTTATATTTTTTGTTTCAATCTTTGTTTTTGAAATTTACTTGGTTTAACCGCAATGCAGAATGACATGTTTAATACCGGTATCCTTTTGTTTGTAATCGTTTACGTTTTTGGTGTAATGTTTGCTTAATTTATGTTTATGTGTTGATTACTTGGTCTTGTCCGAGAAGTAATAGTCATATAAATTTTGATCATTTTAATATGTGGAAATTACCGATTCATTTGATGTATGTACTGACTTGTTGTTTGCAACTAACAATTTTCTCCGTGAATGAAGCAGTCACGGGGCTGGTAAAAACTGTAGTCAAAATTGAGCTACGACACTTAATTCCGTGATTGTCTTCGACATTCAACTGTAGTCTCGAAACACCGAACGAGGGACAACGCTACCTATCTTGGGGGGCGAGATTATGCTAATCAATACTCTTCGGTTTAGAATCTATGTGTGATGATTCAATAATTTCCACATGTTTTTACCGATAGTTAAATTTGCCATCTTGCTTTTAACAAAAGGACGAGTCACATCCTGTGTATTTCACTCTTTCTTAGAATCTTGGTACCTGCTTACTTGACCCATAATTCCCAAAACTTGTTTTAACCTATATGTTACCTCTTGAAGTTTACCACAATTTAATATTAATTTGACGGCTGGTTTTTTAATTGGTAAGTTCTTTTTTTCCCCGCCTATTTCTATTTTTTATTCGGTGAACTACCATTTTCAAAGTTTATTTTTGCAATGTAATTTATTTCGACTTAAATTTCCGAGCTTTTACAATCATAGTAACCAATATAATTATTAAACAAACTTTTCACAATTTCAGTGTTTTATTTTACGTTCCTTCCCTACTGTGCTTCAGGTCATAGCGTTGTTTACAACTAACATAAGGGGGCCCTGCCTTAGATGTTTGATCACGTGCCACTTTTCAAATTTAGGCGGGATCTTGTTTAGTTTTGGAGGGAATAGTCATTCGGGTGGCCATTTTTAAACGTTGCCGGGGTTGACTTTATTTCCGTGTTCTTGTAGTGTGAAGTTAGCGTAGTCTAAGGTAGGGATCCCTTACGTTACACGAAGATTTTGCGGTAGAGGGTTGCGCACTATGCGCATTTGTGTCTGTGAGAGTTAGGGTGTTTGTGTGTGCGAGGTAAATTTAAAACTTCCTAAAAAGACTGGTAGGGAAAAGCTAAAGTTGTGCTCTACTATACTGTGTATTCTGTTGTATTATGTTATGTATTGTTGGGTACATGTGGAAGATCAGCTGTGGCTGAACATGTTACCCTTTGGGCTTGTACCAATCAACGTATTATTATTATCAGATCAGCGTATTCGCTTGGTTAGCCTCCTATGTCACGGTTATATTGTTAGGGATTGTGCTGGCATATTTGCCTACATAGCGCAGTTAATATTGTTAGAGGCAACATATTCAGGCACTTATATTATATTATTGATCTAAGTCGCCCTACTTAGTTATTCATATCATTAGGCGCTTTCTTTCGGTGATCCAAACGCGTTTGGATTGTCAAATCACGTTCTTTCGAAGTGTGATCTTATAATCATGATTGCTAAGATCGTGAACAAACTGAACATAAAAGTTTTATGATCACGAATTCCTAACCTAGGATATTTATGCTCAAATGTTAAGTTAGTCCATATTTGTAACTGAAGAGGAGCATAATTGTGCAAGTACTTCCACTTGAATTTAAATTATTTTCATAATCCAAACAAAAAATACATAATTCAAATTCAAATGTGTACTACGTAAACTTAACCATACTTTGTTTTAAATTCGCGCGTTCTTTCGTAAGGCTTGTCTCACAGTGGAAGCGTTTTCGCGCGAACTGGGATTCGTACGAATACGTACGTTTACGGACGAACTATTCAAACGTACGATTTCAAACGGACCTTCGCACATTAGCGATTAATAAATCGTCCGTATACGTGCGTGTAATTGCGACGTGCGAACTGATCCCATTTTGTTCGGATATTTATGCGAATTCCCAGGTTGTAGACGATTGTGTTTGTGAACAGTTGCTCAGGTCATGATCGATACGCAGCTAATGTGTGAATGCGATTTGTGCGTACACAGACGTACAATTTCTGACGTTAACATGCGTATTTCAGTTCGCGCGTAAACGCTTCCACTGTGAGACAAGCCTAAAACGTGATCCTACGAATCACGATTTTGAAATCATGATTGCGAAGTAGTCGAAAGAAAGCGCCTATTATATACCGAATAGAGTGATCTGAAGTTTGTAAAAACATGTCTGATATATTATTGACGTAACAATAGGCAGTTATGATAATACACAGGTGCTAGTGGAGCCACGACACGAAACTGAAGACGGTTAAGAGATGGGTCGCCGCCCATAGGTAAAGCCCCAGAACAAAAAACTTAGAAGGGAAACGTAAACGGGAACAACTGAGTACAAATATAATTAGTTTGGAGAACATTCAATAGATGGCGCATAGTTAGCGTGCGTGTTAAAGTTACTAAATCTAGTGACTTTAGTACGTGTCGCCATTATGACAGTTGAATTTTGAATTTTGATTGACGGCTTATTGTGCTTTAAGTATAATTACTATTCATTATTACAATGAATTCTGCATACACAAGTCGAGAACGTACATGTTGTGTGACAAATTGTGAAGACGTTTCCCAAAAATGGAGCCCGAAGTTTTTAAGAATCGGTTTAGAATATACTGTGGAAGAAATTTACACAAAAGTTTTTGGTTTGTGAACGTCATTTTTCTGGATGCGCTTTAGAACCTGGAACACGAAGAGATTTAAAGCGTGTGGCAGTTCGCACATTATATTAGCAGGTAACACTAATTGAATTGTAATAAATTGTCACATATTTTATTTTTAGAACGATCTGGAGAGCATCATACAGTAGAGTTCCATGAAGTTGATCTTGTATCTTATATAATCGTATTAAATTAAATATAACTCCTTGATTGGATTAATTGGAGTTACTTATAAAACAAGTGCCCTGTACTCTTTGAAGGCCCTGACTGGTGAGGTGCATCCGCATTAAACTGAATTTATTTGGAACCGTAACAAACAAAATTGGACTTCACTGGCTGGATTCATTTACCTTTTAGGTTTCAGCTAGTCAAATCCAATGTTATTGTTACAGATCCGGAGAAATTCAGTATAATGCGGACGTAGCTTACATTTTAATATTTAAATTTGGCGCCATTCACGCAAAAGCTGCTGAGAACATACACGAGATGGCGCGTCATTTTTACATTACACTACAGTTTCCATTCTAAGTTTGTTGTTCTATGGGTAAAGCGGTCTCGGGTTACAGACACTCGCACCTAAAGTTGAAGGTTCGAGGGCCCTCGGATCCTTTTGCGCCTTAGCTCATATCTATTCTAGCGTCCGAGCTCCCTCTCACGGTAGGTAGATATTAGGTACGTACAACAAGGCACACACATTCGTGAATGTTAGGAGTCAACCTAACCTGTAAATACACCTAGCATTGCATGCTCTACTTCACGAAAGTCGAGATCCTACATCAGTACACACCCGTGCACCGTGTAACCGAGTTAAACGTGGTCTAAACCTGAGATATCGTACACTTCCACAAGCATGTTGTAAATCACATATTAGCATAATGGTAGATGGAATCTGATATAACAAATTGCACAATTCATATAGGTACATAAGAGCTTAGTGTATTACACTATGATAAGAGTAAACAGATTGAACTACATAAAATACTTTACCCCACACCAATCGAGTGCTGAAAAACACAGAAACAAGAACAAAAGCCAAAACTATGAAATACAATAGCTCCGCCACCAAACAAGCTTTACCAACCAACAACCGACCGAGCTAAACCTAAACATCCCCCGAATCTCCAAAAAAAATATCAACCAGGTTGAACAGGTGGTGGTGGCGCATTCCCGCAGAATCTCTCAACCTACCTACTTGACGGGGTTGCATCAGACGTTTAAATATACCGGGGTATTTAAAGGGATATAAACATCTACTGTTAGCAAGATTTGAAAGTTCTCTGAAATATAATCTATCTAGACCTACGACGTAAAATTTAATTTTTTACTAGTAGCTTAGACATGAAAGAAAAGAATCATGTGAAAGTTGAATGGCTGTGCTAGTAATGTTTCCACAGCGTTGCAAATGCAGGTATACGGGTAGAAAAATTGAGTTCTTTCATGTAGACGTAACCGGGTGCTAAAGATGTATCGAATAACTACGTACCAATAACCAAACATTATTTATTTCTTTACAATTCTATTGAAATTATAGTAAGATTACCTTGTCATACTCATAAGATGCCAATATCTTTTATACATTAAATTATAATTACATAATATTATTATAGTACAAATCAGTATTTTATAGTTATTAGTGTTGACAATTAATTACTGTTAGAAAAATGTACGGCCATTAAGTAATGATCGCATATTTTTATTAGCCGATACATACCAATAAAAAAATACAAGGGAATCTAAAAATCCACTTTTTTTGGATACAGGATGACGTCACAGAATCAGAACCCTAATTTTCAGAAACAGAGAGTACTTAATATCACCCTTTTTTTCGTTGGCATTACAGTACACCGCCCTGTGGCCATTTGTATTTCTGCCAATTCGATAACTGTGAAATGATGCATTTTCCGCTGCACTAATTTATCTTAAATAGTATATTGAAAGACAAGTGTTACAATGCGACCTATTGTAATACGACTATCTTGTGGCACGAGTGGCGACGCGAAGCGTAGCCACAAGTGTCCGCAAGATAGAAGTATTACAATAAAGCATTGTAACACGCGTTTTTCATACTATTTTTTCTATTTCGGTGCTTTAATTTAATTAAAAAAATCATTATCAGAAACTATAGGGAACATTAAGAACTAACATGTTTTATGTTGGGAACACTTTTTATGCCGTTAAGTTTTAGGTTGGGAGCGTAGTAAGAGTGACATTTTGAAGTTCAAACATGGAAGTACCCTTAGATCATACATGGATGGAGCGATCCAATTACACTATGTCACCAACATGTTCTGATTCAAGACTCTACATACTTTTGTGCTGTATCTCTCTTGTCGACGTACAATTTATATGTTGTTATTCCATGTACAGTTTCAGTGTTAGTAACCAATCAGAAAATTCAAATCTTTAACCTCACAATGTTAATAAACAATGCAATATTTATTATTTAGGGTAAAAAAGGTTCTCAATACATGAATAAATACATCTTTATAGGACAATTTAGTGGTACAGAACAGTATTAAAAGTTTAGTTTCATATATAACCATGTAAAGTCAAGCAAGGTTAAACAACAAAAACAGCTGTTTGCGAATATACGATGTCAAACGGACAAACGTTCTAACAATCGCCAAGCTTGCGCACTTTTACAATCAACCCGGCAAAGGATAAATACATTACAACTTACTAATAGTAAAAGATGATAGGCATAAAAATGCACGTTGGAATGTTGGCGACGGTTGTCTTTTAGTAGAGCTTATGAGATGCTCTATCCATGTTTATATGATCTAAGGAAGTACCCAACGAAGTACCTACTTGTACTAATTATAAGTAACTGCCAACTTAAGAGATGAGTTACCAAAAAAAACGACTATAATCACTGTCTTTGTACAACTGTTTTCGGCCGAAAACAGTTGTACAAAATCATCATTGTGACACCGAAATAGAAAAAATTAATTTGTGACACGCAAAATGACGTCAATTGAACATATTTATGTAATAATGGAAATAATTGTTTTTCATAGGTTGCTTTGACACGAGAAATTTCTAGACATTAGTTCATTAATACTTCCTTCATACTAGGTTAAACAGATCAAGAAACTATATAGTACTTAACTATTATGCCATCAAATTTTACAACGCCTTACCTCCTGAGGCTAGATCTTTATGTCCAAACCTATTGAAAAAAAAGTTAAAAATATTATTGTTAGAGTTGGCAATTTTTAACATAAGTGAATTTTTAAATTATCGGTTTGAGAGCACTCAATTTTTGTAGGTTTGTCCATTTATATGTAGGTGTGTCAATTTTGTTTTTCACTTGCGTAAAACTATACTGTTAAAACACCAATAAATTATTATTATTATTATTAATAAAGTGCTCTACATCATTTTTTAAAACTAGGAATAGTTATTCTGTAACACTCTGTACATATAGATTGAACTGCTTAACAAAAATTTGTTGTAGATGATATCTTTGAATTCAGTAGAACCAGCACCTATATTGAAGGTCTTCTACGGTGATCTGCTCAGGTTTGGACTGTCTCGTCAAAAACCGGACGTCTGATAATCCTATTGTGTGTTAAAAGATGCTTCCTTAAATTCTTCTTAGTATTGGTTGCATAATCACAAAAATCACATTTAAAATTTTTTGAATCATTGTGTATTAAGAGATGAGACTTGAGGTATGTTTTAATATTTGTGACATAATCACAAACGTCACATTTAAAAACGTTTGAAACATTGTGTTTTAGAATATGCACATTCAAATTCCTCTTAGCATTTGTTACGTAATGACAATGATCACATTTAAAATTTTTCGAATCCGTGTGTATTAAGAGATGCAACTTAAGAGAGTACTTGATATTTGTCATATAATCACAAATGTTACATTTAAAAACTTTTGCAACTTTGTGTTTTAAGCAATGATACCCTAATTTCTGTTTAGTATTTGTCGCATAATCACAAATGTCACATTTAAAATTATTTGAAACATTGTGGTATAAGAAATGATATCTCAATTTTCGCTTAGTATTCGTTGCATAATCACAAATGTCACATTTAAAATCCTTTGAACTATTATGTATTAAGAGGTGTCTGCTCAAATTGTACTTCGTATTCGTTGAATAATCACAATTTGCACATTTAAAATTGTTAGTATCAACGTGAGTCAAAAGGTGTATTCTACGAGGTATTCTAGAATGTGGTTCGTTATCTGTCGTGTACTCACAAACCTTACATCTAAACTGATCAAATTGCGATTTAATATTTGATGAACGACCTTGCTGCTTTATTTCTTCTTTGTATGCTTGGCTACAATATTCAACACCATGTTCTTCTTTTATGGTGTCGACAAAGTCATTGTTCACGAGAATGTTTCTTTCAAGGGACAAGTGTAGTTCTTCTTCTTGTTTTGGTTCAATTTTAATAAATGCAATGTTGTCTTCCATGATTTTCTATAAAATAGCAATAAAAGCCTATGACCACAAACACAGGATTTACCTCGACCCACTGACTATAGCCTAAAATGTTAACTGTTGGCAACTGGGCACAGTTGACACTGGTTTCTACCTCGGAGTAAGTAATAAAGTAGAGATGCCTTTGTAGCCGTTAAAAGCGTCTCAAAATTTCTTGTTTAAAGATATTGCACAAGATCATTTTTAGGGGAATACCTTGGAAGTATAAAAACTAGGCCCTGCCTAGGTGCACCATGTACGTGAAATGTTCATGCGAAACGTCATCAATTAGGTGTGACGTCGCAGTCGCATGTAGCAGTTTATTGTTTATAACTAGCTTTGTTTAGGGTACGGTCGGAAATTCATACAGTGGTGGACAAGACATCCTTCTTTAAAGGAGGATTTACAGGGTTCCATTAGCGAGGACAAATTGCTACATACCTACATTGAATTTAAATTCAATGATACCTACTTTAAAGTTAGCTATACCTACTACATTCATTAATCATTATAACAAGGTAGTAGATGGCGCTGTGCGAGATTACGCAGAAATCAATTTTGGTACGAATGTAAATATGCTATCTTACTCAAAAATCTAATAATAATTTAACGAAGCCCGATGGCAATTTGGCAACATGGCGTACCAAAGTTGTCTGATAAAACAATGGTCTGTAATCCGGCCAAAAGTCGAACTTAACCTACTTATGATTCAAAGATTTTGTCATGCTTTGCATTTGATTTGATTATCTTATTTTTATCATACTGTAACGTTATTTATAAATTCGGGTTCGATTTATATCAATATTTATTAAACAAAACTAAAACACTATAAAAACTGTACAATTTATATCGACTATTTATATCACACACTTCGCAATTTATATTTCCGCGCTCGATGTTTCATCCGTACTCGATCTCGTACGGTAGTAAACTGTCTGCGATGTTCGGTCCGCAACCATTTATACACGCAAGCAATGTAAGTCCAAAACACTCGCGTAATTACCGGATAAGTCTCGAATATTCCTATACCAATCCCACTATCGCGCGCGTAGAAAATTCCAGAGCGCCAAAGGCGACGTCATGTCTGAAGCGTTTCCGTTACAATACATATTGAGATGTTTTATTTATGTGTACTTTCTCTTGCATTTTATTGCTGTAGGTATTTGTGTGGCCTATAGGACGGGGTTTTTGTCCCGTAGAAGGTTTCTCTGGTACGGTCTTCTTGTGTGCGTAATATATTTATTTGTTCTTGTCAGTTCTTACGCACAAAAGTTCTGTCTTTGGTTTAATTCCTTTCCCGATTATGTCTCACGTCCCAACACATACAACAACCGATTACACAACGTGCCACCTATATCGAGCCGACTGCCATCCAAATTCGAAAGTGCTGCGAAACGTCCATCGTTTAGACTTGAAAGGTAGGTGGCTCTGCTCGTATTTTTTTCTCAGAGTTGCCAACGGTAAGTACAGACTAAGTCAATATTTCCAGTAAGGATCATTACACTTTGCTGTCTGTAGTCAGTCAAGGCAGTTGAATTTGATTTGTTTTATGTCTCTAATTCAATTTTTGTGTTTGTGCTACATACAACAAAAAGGTAGGTAATGTGGTTAGTTGTAATTGTATATACTTCTATAGCAAATTTTTGTGAAGCATTTGTGCCATGTAATTGTAATTTCTTCGCTGGATTGCCTTCAGTTGCTTGTAATTGTAACTGCGGGTAGGTAAATTTGCTTTAAATCTTATTGGGTTGCTAATGTTCATTCAATATTTAAACTCATTTAGATGATTAGCGACTTTGTGTATAATCTGCCTTTTTGAATGTCATTAACTGTTTCGCCCGTGCAGAGATAAATCCCAAATTCATCGATCGAAATACAACTTTAGTCTAATGTTACCGTATCCAGGACCTTCAGATACATTTTGGACTGGAGAAGGTAATTAACAATCCATTTCATGTACTTTATGCATGAGAGTTCGTAATATTTTTCACAAATGGGACAGGAGTAAATTTGCTTTGTACCTAATCTTTTTGAGCTGGCCCATTCTTTGTCTTATCAAATGAACGTCAGATTTAAATTATTCAGATTCAGTAGTTACTTCCTCAGACGGTTAATTTTTGTATGTTGTAGATGTGTGATTAGAGTTTTCCAGTTACCTTTCTTGCTCCAGATTACCTCTTTGGAACTTTCTTCGGCTTTTTTTGGCTTTAAATGTATGCTTTCTAAATTTGTAGGAACTTTTCCGCCATTTTGATTCAAAAATCTTTTGCATCGAATCATTGTGTAGGGTTGCCTTTTTAATTATTTTTATTATCCGATACATCACTGGAAAAGGAGAGAAAACCTTAGAATCTACGTTTTTATACAGGATGTACCAAAATAAAGATTCCTGATTTTCAGAAATGATGAGGGCACTTTTTTTTATTAATATACTAACGTGCAGAAATTTCTCGTTTTTGTTTACATTACCATAAGCTGCATTTTATAACAAACATATTTAGGTATATAACAATGAAAATTTATTGATTGTTTGACACAGACAACCTTATTGTGTGCTTATAACAACTTTTAATTTGTAGTAGCATAAATCACAAACGTCACATTTATAAACGTCAGTGCTTCAGGACATGATTCCTCAAATTCTTCCTAGTATGTGTTGCATAGTCACAAAGATAACATTTAAAATCTTTTGAATCGTTGTGTATTAAGAGATGAGACTTAAAATATGTTTTAATATTTGTGACATAATCGCAAACGTCACATTTATAACACTTTGAAACATTGTGTTTCAGAGCATGCGCAGTTAAATTCTTCTTAGCATTTGTTGCATAATCACAAACATCACATTTAAAATTTTTTGATTCATTGTGTGTTAAAAAATGTTGCTTCAAACTTTGCTTCCTATTTGTTGCAAAATTACAAATATTACATTTAAAATCTTTCGAATCATTGTGTTTTAAGAGATGCGACTTCAAATTGTCCTTAATATTAGTTACATAATCACAAATGTTACATTTAAAAACTTCTGAAACATTGTGTTTCAGGAAGTGATTCCTCAAATTCTTCTTAGTATGTGTAGAAAAATCACAAATGTTACATTTAAAATCTTTTGAATTATTGTGTGTTAAGATATGGGATTTAAAACGGTTTTTATAGTTTGTGGCATAATTACAAACGTCACATTTAAAAACTTTTGAAACATTGTGCTTTAAGAAATGATACCGTAAATTTTGTTTAGTATTTGTTGTGTAATCGCAGATATCACATTTAAAGAAGTTTGAAACCGCATTTGAAACATTGTGTTTTAGAACATGACACATCAATTTCTGTTTAGTATTTGTTGCGTAAGCACAAATGGCACACTTAAAATCATTTGACGGGTTGTGTTTTAGAACATGACGCCTGAATTTCTGCTTCGTATTTGTTGTATAATTACAAATGTCGCATTTAAAATCATTTGAAACATTGTGTTTTAGAACATGAAGTCTCAATTTTTGCTTAGTATTAGTTGCATAATTACAAATGTCACATTTAAAATCATTTGTAATATTGTATTTTAAAAAATGATATCTCAACTTCTGCTTAGTAGTTGACGTATAGTCACAATTTGGACACTTAAAAGCTTTAAAAACCTTGTGAGTTAAGAGATGTGCTACTAAATACCGTTTAACGTTTGTTACGTAATCACACTTTGCACAATTAAAATTGTAAGTATCACCGTGCGTCGTAAGGTGCATTCTAAGAAGTGGTTCAGCATCTGTCGTGAAGCCACAAACTTTACATCTAAATTTCTCAGTTAGTGATTTAATACTTGACAAACGGCCTTGTTGTTGCGTTTCTTCTCCATTGCACTCTTGGCTACAATATTGTGCATCTGTCGTAATCGCATCGTGTTCTTCTTTTATAGTTTTGACAAAATCATTACTTACAAGAATGTTTCTTTCAAGGGACAAATTTATGTTTTCTTCTTGTTTTGGTTCAATTTTAATGAATGCAATGTCATCCATGACTTATCTATAACATAGCAATAAATTCTTAGGACCACTAGCATACGATTTACCTCATGTACCTACCTATAACAATAAATAGCGTCAATGAACCACCACAGTTTTGGGTGTAGGTAGGTACACCTACAGCCCCGATTTAAGGAAAATCGTAGATGCTTGAATAACCTAAAACGATAACTGCAACATTATGTTGGTTCCCACCACACAGCAGGTAGGTAATCAATTCGAGATGCTTTGTCAACATCTCTTTTGTTTACAATTATTGCACAAGGTTATTTGTAACGGAATAAACAATCTGGAATTGAAAAAAAAGTTAACCTTACACCGAGTTATACCGGGTGATCCAAAATGGTTGCTTACAGTTTAAATTTCCTGTAAAAAAACTAGTACCACATACCGAACGGTGGTTCCACTGAAAATATAAAAGTGGTAATGTCCAAATTTTATTTGTCAAACCTCTTGTAGTATGTGTTGTAAAATTCCTCAGTTAGATGTCGCTATTGTGAAGTTGAATACCTTCCCATTTCTCCACTATAGTTTGTGCTTCTCATTTTCCATATAAAAGCGTGATTGTAAAGAACCAGAGGAAATTCTTCTTATACCTTTTATCGGTCAGAACCAAATTCAGGTTTCACATCTCGATTATTTATTTATTTATTTATTTGTTTAGCCAGATACCATACAGAATACAATTATTCCAATTACATGGCACTGGGGTGCTGTACTTAAAACTAAAACTACACAGTAATTACGATCTTATATGATTAATTAATTCATTCAAAGAGCCGTGAAATACATCGATGTCTCTCTCACGGCACTTCTTATTTAAAGCCAACAGGCTCCTCGATAGTGGCGATGACGGAGTGGTCACTAAAAAGATGATATCGTTTTTCCTTAATTTAACATGTGGCACTTTGAGTTTAATTTCCTGAAGCAATTCTGGAGCATTTAGGTGATTATTCAGTATCTTGTACACAAAGGTAGCACAGATCACTTCGCGTCGGATTTGTAAACTTGAGATTTTAATACCGTGCACACTATTTAAAAATTTTAGTTGGTTGGAGTAGATTAAATGTGGAAAATTTTGAGTCGACCTAAAATACACTATTCGCACTAATTTTTTTGAACTTTCTCTATCATGTCTGCGTGCTTATAAGTTTGGGGTGTCCAAATACATGCCGCATAATCGAGTTTGGATCTGATGAACGCATTGTATAAGGTAATCATTGAGGAAATGCGTGTCTCAACTCGAGACCATTAGTGCCCATCCGAGAAGTAATGGACGAAGATACATTATTGACACCAGGACATTTCCTAATCGGGAGACCAATACTGGAACCATTGGAAGAAACAGGAGAGGATTTAAAAATAGGCCTCAGTAACAGGTGGAAAATGGTACAGAAAATGAAAAAGGAAATCTGGAAAGCATGGTCATCAGAGTACTTACACAACTTACAACAACGCTACAAATGGAAAACCAAGAACGACAACATAAAAATCAACGACATAGTACTCGTCAAAGATGACAACCTCAGCCCAGGAAAATGGCCGCTAGCAAAGGTGATAGCGACTCATCCAGCAGAAGATAATATAGTGCGAGTAGTAACAACCCAAAAGGCAGACGGGAAAACGTCCAAAAAAGCAATACATCAACTAGTCCCCCTACACTCAGAAGATGCACAGAAAAAATCAGCCGCAGGAAACAACCAAGAGATGAAGAGTTTCAGCATAAAAGCAATTGTTCTCACCATACTAATGATGATGATAGGCACTACAGTGGCAGAGTACAACATCACGCATCCAAACCCAGGGTTTTACATAGAACACATGGGAGATGGAAGGATTGAACGAGGAATTTTCCGGATCGATATTCAATACAAGAAAACACGGATAAATGAAGACATCCACGCAACGCTGCAATCAATTACACAGTTCAAGGAGCTATGCAACAAGACAGCAGAAATAGCAGAAAATTCACACTGTACCGAATTAGTGCAACTTCTCGAGGATCACGAAAATGAAATACAATGGTTAAAGGAAGAAATAGGCAGCACGATGGTTGAACGAAGGAAGCGAGGAATATTGGGGGACATACTTACAGCAGTATTCGGAGTCAACGATGAAGTATACAGGGTCATTCTTGACGAGTGTCAGTTTTGCTTTAAACCCTTTAAGGGTTTTGGCACATGATGAATTGAACTAAAATATTTTCAAAATGGCGCCACTTCCGGAAATACCGGAAGTAGCCATCAACTTTGTTATTTTAAATAGGGACCCCCTATTTTTTCTACATTTTCGGATTCTACGTCGAATTTGGACTACAACGATACCCCATAGTTGACCCTTTGCTCCAAGGGCTTCGCCGATATTCAAGTTTTTGTGTCAAAAATTGAATTTGCAGGGATAACTTTAAAAATTATTATTCGAAAACGGTGAGAGATATTGCAAAACAGTTTTCAATGCTTTATTAAGGAAAGATCAAATTTTCTTATGGTATGCGTAACCGTCTAAAAAAGTGAGACTACGTCACTTTTTCAAAGCTCTCAACTTTTAAACCTTTAAATATCCGTAACTCCATTTTTTCAAATGGCACCCCCGATTTTGTTCTTCACCATTGTTTTCCTTTTTCCCAGACCTTTAATTTGATGCAAAATTTCAAAAGCTCCTTCAAACGGTTTCCGAGATATTCCATCTTTTAGTTACTTCTTGTGGAAAGTTGATAAAAAAATTAAATCGCTTGATGTTATTCTTTTGTTTTTATTATGATAATGTTTAAACGTCAAATTTTTGCCGCTTGAACTTATACTTCTCGTCAATAATGGCTCGTTTGGGTTACACTAATGAAGATTTTTTGAATTTAATATTAATACATGGTGAATGTAATCGAATAGCTGCCAGGAAAAGCAGCGAAAATTTGACGTTTAAACATTATCATAATAAAAACAAAAGAATAACATCAAGCGATTTAATTTTTTTTATCAACTTTCCACAAGAAGTAACTAAACATGGAATATCTCGGAAACCGTTTGAAGCAGCTTTTGAAATTTTGCATCAAATTAAAGGTCTGGGAAAAAGAAAAACAAGGGTGAAGAACAAAATGGGGGGTGCCATTTGAAAAAATGGAGTTACGGATATTTAAAAGTTGAGAGCTTTGAAAAAGTGACGTAGTCTCACATTTTTAGACGTTTACGCAGACCATAAGAAAATTTGATCTTTCCTTAATAAAGCATTGAAAACTGTTTTGCAATATCTCTCATCGTTTTCGAATAATAAATTTTTAAAGTTACCCCTGCAAATTCAATTTTTGACACAAAAACTTGAATATCGGCGAAGCCCTTGGAGCAAAGGGTCAACTATGGGGTATCGTTGTACTCCAAATTCGACGTAGAATCCGAAAATGTAGGAAAAATAGGGGGTCCCTATTTAAAATAACAAAGTTGATGGCTACTTCCGGTATTTCCGGAAGTGGCGCCATTTTGAAAATATTTTAGTTCAATTCATCATGTGCCAAAATCTTTAAAGGACTTATCAGTTCAGCTTAATTTTCAAAGGTTTTCCATATCTTTCTAACTGACGCTCGTCAAGAATGACCCTGTATATTGTCAAAATTATATTGCTTAAATTTTGATTCCAGGTTTTATATATTTCATCCTGGGTTAAGTAAAAGTCAAATAAATACATCTACTATGAAACATTAAAAATATAGCTTACAGGGTGTTTTTTTGGTAGGTCCAAAGTTGCAGAACTTCATATTAAAAATCTCTCTGATAGTTTTCGAAATGCTTGGTTTTCCTGGTTTTTATATTCTAATCTTAAATAAGTTATATGTAATTTACATAATAGCGAGGTGGCCATGCAAAAAATAGGCAATTTTTATCTATCTCGTCCAAAACGAAAATCATATCCATTAATTTATTTTTCAAACAATTTATTTTAAGTCCAAAAACTGAAAAATAAGTAAAAACATTTGACTACAAAACAAATTCAATTTAACTCCTAATGTCATCCAGTCAGTGATACTGATATTAGTTTCATTTTTTTTCATATTCACCTCGATATTATGTAAATTAGAACTTATTTCAGATTAAAATATAAAAATTAGAAAAGCCAAGATATTTGTTTATGTTTTTACTATCAAATTTATTCTCCAGTTTTTATAGACTTAAATGAATTATTAGAAAAATGAATTAATAAATTTGATTTTAGCTTTGAACGAGGCAGATAAAAATTGCCTTTTTTTTGCATGCCCACCTCACTATTATGTAAATTACATATAACTTATTTAAGATTAGAATATCAAAAATAGGAAAACCAAGACATTTCGAAAACTATCAGAGAAAATTGGACATTATTATCAAAAGTTGAAGGTTTTTGGAGGAGCTAAATGATGACAGAAAAATATAAAGGGTGTTCCATTTAAAAAAAAGTGAGATTTTTTAGTTCTGCAACTTTGGACCAACCAAAAAAACACCCTGTAAGCTATATTTTTAATGATTCATAGTAGATGTATTTATTTGACTTTTACTTAACCCAGGATGAAATATATAAAACCTGGAATAAAAATTTAAGTAATAATTTTGACAATATACTGACGCTTGCAAATGCCCAATTTTTCTTAAAAATCGAATTATCTTTAAAACTACTAGCTTTTAGGATTTTAACCATATAATAAAAAAGACTTACAATTACACGTAGAATTCAAAAATGCATTCAAATACAGGGAACTCTATTTAAAAAATGTTTCATTTTGGCGCCCTACTTTGTGGGCGCACCCTGTATAATTCCAAATATTTTTAAAATGTGGAGAATATTCAACCATATCATAATACAAAAGCACTCTATCGAAAAATCTTATCTTCGAGGCATTAAGTTACTCCGCGCAATCGTTGACTCACCCTGTACAAATAAAAAGTCCTTTAGGGAAAACCCAGTGTCCTTAGTCACCGCATTGCTTCTGGTTTTTATAATTCTCCTATTTATCCTAGTTTTCCTAGTCCTTTCGTTTTACCTGGTTTCCTTAGGTTCTCGACGTCTCTTAGTTTCCCTGGTTCTCCTAGTTTACCCAATTCCCCTAGGTATACCGTTCCTGGTTTCCCTAGTTTCTCTAGTTTCCTTAGTCTATCTAGTGTCTCCAGTTCTTTTAATTCCTGGTTTAGGACTTGTGCCCTAGTTTGTCTAGTTCTCCTCTAGTATTTTGTAATTTGTGTTACATCTCTAGCTCTTTCTAATGCTCCTAATTTCTCTGATTTCCTTCATTTCCTATTTTTCCTATTTTACTTTCCATATTTTCAAGTCTTCCTAGTTTCCCCACCTTTCCTACGTTCTTGTTTGCCCTTGTTTCTCTAGTCTCCTTAGTATCCCTTAGTGTCCCTAACGTCCATGGCTTTGGTACATAAGTGAATTAGTCGACAACTATAAGAGGGGAGTTTTATGAGACCCCCCCTGGAGTCGAACCAAGAAACGAGAAACTGCGTGTTTGATGAGGAAGAGTTTCTATGGGTTTGGAATTCTTCAACGTTGTGGAACCAGTTGATTGACGATACTCTGGGGAGCTCCGATTGGATTTTCAGTTGGAAATCTCTGGAAAATACCTTGGATCGAACGCAGTTGAAGCGTAGGCGGGTGGAAACTGGTCTTGCACCAATGTTATATATTCAGTTCAATTTTACAATATTAAAAATTCAAGTACAAAAAAACACCACTCCAGTTCGACGAGTACCTTGTTTGTGCACTTATGATACAGATTTCAATAACAATGCGTGATACAGCACTTTGGTAAAGGTCAATTGCTCCACTTGTCTCAGGGCAAAGCACTTGCGGACTAATTTAGAACAAACAACTTCAATTACCTTTAACAAATCGAAGGTGATAACTAACGATAAGTGAGAATGCGATTCTCTCATATAAAAGGGCTGCGGATAATAGCTCGTCACTGAAAGTCAGTTCAGCACCGAACCATCATGAGAGTAATATTGTGCCTATTGGCAGTGCTGCCGTTTTGTCTGGGAGAGGAACCCGACCGTTTCGACAACTTTAAGGTATACCAAGTGATCCCGACGACCTCCGCCCATTTGGAAGTGCTTGAGAAACTTGAAAACGACCCCAACTACAACTTCTGGTCGGGCGTCGCCTTAAATCGGCAAGTCGATGTGATGGTATCACCAAGGCAACAAGACATCTTTACAAATCTTCTCCGATTCTTGAACCTTCCCGGTAAGGTAATGATCGAAAACGTGCAAGAATTGATGAATAATGAACGAAACAGTACCGATAGGAGTGAGGACTTGTTTTCAAGCTACCAGACCTTGGACGAGGTAAGAGGGTGAAAATTTGTCTTAGTCGTCTTGCTTTAAAACACCCTTTTAGATACATAATTGGCTGAGAAGCCTCGAAGCTCAGTATCAAGATGTAGTCAAAGTGATAGTCGGTGGAAAATCGCACGAAGGACGACAGATTCTGGGCGTGCACGTCTCCTTCAAGCCGGGAAACAAAGCCGTAATGATCGAAGGCGGAATCCACGCACGCGAATGGTATTTCTACGTTTTCAAAAGGTCGATCACTAACCGTCGGTTTTAGGATCTCGCCAGCTACGGTGATTTACATATTAAACCAGTTGTTAACCAGCCAGGATCCAGCGGTCCGAGCGGTCGCAGAGAGTCGTGACTGGTACGTTTTTCCCAGTGTCAACCCAGACGGCTACGTGTACACCCACACCAAGGTAAGTGACCGAGCCAGTTGCCAATGACAATGATGACTGATGTCCATCTCACCAGAACCGCATGTGGAGAAAAACGAGAAAACCCTACGGTTTTTGTTACGGAGCAGATCCCAACCGTAACTGGGGCTATCACTGGATGCAAGGTGGGGCCAGTTCCAGCGCTTGCTCGGACACCTTCGCCGGGGACAAGGCGTTTTCGGAAATTGAAACGCAATCGCTATCTGAATTCATTGACACAATTGCGCCCAAACTCGACGTCTACCTCAGCTTTCACTCCTATTCCCAGTTGATTTTGCTTCCATTTGGGCATAAGGGACACGAAGTACCCGCCAACAACGAAGAACTGGTGAGCGATTATCACTGTGCGTCACTCGAATCGTACTCAATTGATACATTTTTAGCATCGGGTCGCAAACAAGGCGAGAGACAAGCTAAAGGAGCGCTATGGTACGAAGTACACTGTTGGAAATATTCCAGAGGCTATTTGTAAGGTCCCAAGGTCACGCTGGAGCATTTTCTTAAACGATTTTTTCAGACGTAGCCAGTGGAGGTAGCACCGATTGGGTTGCGGGGACACATAGGCATATCCGTTTGACTTACACCTTCGAACTTCGAGATACAGGAAGATACGGTTTCCTTCTTCCCTCCAATCAAATTGTGCCGACTGGCGAAGAAACGTTGGACGCTGTTGTCAGTATGTTTCAACAAATTGATGCTACCGAATAGATGACATATGTACTCCTTTTTTTGTAAATAAACCATTTATACACTAAATCCACCATGTTTGGTGTAGGATATACGACCAGGTGCCTAAACAAATTTTGGTTGATTTAGAATATCGACTTTACGTTTGCATTTCGTGAACGAGGGGCAAGTCAACTGTGCTACGGGTGGGACCTTGTTAACTGTAATTATGGGAAAATTCTAAAATGAACGTCGGATTTCTCGTTTTATTTTAAGATAACTTTGAACGCCGTCTGCCGGTTTTTTCTACAACTCATTAAAATGTCATTTATAAGTTATAACCATGCTTATCCAATTAGGCGCAATGAAACTTTAATACTCATCAATCCAACTAATACCTATTGTTAATTGAAATTTTCCGGCGCAAAAATTGTTGTCAAAAAGGCTTAATAATTAATTAACGGCGCTGAACTATCAAAATATTAATAGACTCCCTGTATAATAATTTAACTATTTCTAGCGGATGGCTTGGAAAAAACTTACGTATTTTACTTATAAACAATAAACAATTACACTAAAATGACACACAAACAACTCAGTCCTCAAACAAATATTAAAATTCAGGAACGCCTTTCTAACGAAGTACCAAACTCGATACCGGGTGTTCAGCAAAGCTGATCAACTTCCCAAATATACAGTGCGGTCATAACTTCGGACGGAAAACGTATGCTTTATTACAGCGTCACGTTCTTCTCATTGCAGTATCTGCTCAACCTCGGTACCTCCAGTAGCGGAGGAACTGCTGCCCCATTCAGCCCCGAGAAATATGCCGAATCGATCATGAAATTTGTTTTCAACGATGGGAAAACTTATGAACTCGAAAATAAATTATGAAATCAAAACATGCACTTAGGCAACATCCAGTTGATGAATGGAATACTAATACATTTAATGAAGCAATCGCCAGCAGTGGAAGAGAGCGCTGCTTCGATGCCTCCAGAAATTCACTCTAAAACTAAGAAAAGAAATAAAGAAACCCGAGCGAATCTACTCGATAATTAAAATGACGGATGCTTAAAGAGCCAAAATTTCCACAATCGACTACGTTAATAAAGTGTGGCAATCTTTGAAGGAGAGGAATCTTCAAACATGAATCGTTCAGTATCAATTGGTTATTGTCGTTAATTACCTTTTACCGCTTAAATAAAATTACTATTGAAGAGGAATTACTTAAACTAAATAATAATGACTTGATTGACTAAATTGATCTAATTTAATTATATCCCCCACAATGAGAGTGCTCAGACTTGATCTAATTCTAGAACTCACACACCATCCGGTTCCTCGCCATAATATAATAATACTTAAAAATTATGCCCCCCCAAGGGAAGCACCTTGTCGTGGTGGGGGGGCTCAGTAGCCACTGTTGCCAGCAGTGGTGAAGCTAAGCTGTCCCAGGTCGTTTGTATTGTCTTGTTTGATAGTTCTAGTCCTTTGTCTTTTGTTTCATGTCTTATAAAATATAAATCACAAAAAAAGGCCATGGCCCGCTGGCAGTAGCGGTAAAATGCATTCGGAAACGACCCAGCTTATAAATAAATGGAAAATCTCTTGAGCCCTTCGGGGCGCCCACATCTTACTGCTCAGGGGTTCGGATTGTCCCCAGAGCCGGCAGGGAGCGAGGCGGAGCGGGCAGGCCTCACCCGGTCGATATCAAGCGGCTGCTCGGCGTCCGTGGCAGGGAACCAGGCCACGGAGCAAGTACATATTTCTGGAACGTTTGACGACCCATGCTATGTCCCTGGATACGATGGAGAGAGTGGAAGTTTTCCCTCGCTCCCCGAAATAGGCAGAGAAAAGGAGGAGAACTATCCCCGGTTCCTGTTTATAGAAAAAAAAGAAGGAGATTTCTCCACAACGAGTCCATTTGTTATAGCAAGAGCGTTGTTTGGTCTAGTAGGGAAGGTGGAAGAAATAAAAAAGGTTAAAGGAATGCTATTAATAAAAACTGTTAGTAACAAACAATCAAAACGTCTTATGCAAACGAAGCGGCTATGTAATTTTGATGTCCAAGTTAAGCCACACGAAACCTTGAATGTTTCTAAAGGCATCATCTATTGTCGTGACCTTATGAACTGCAGCGAGGAAGAAATACTTGAAGAGCTGAAGGAAGAGAATGTAGTGGCTGTAAAAAGAATGAAAAGAAAAATTGCTGGGAATTTTGTGGACACCCCTAATATTATACTTACTTTTAATTCAACCCAACTACCTAAAAGAATTATTGCAGCCTTCTATAGCTTAAATGTGCGGCCATATATCCCTTCGCCGATGCGTTGTTACAGATGCCAAAAGTTTGGGCACACAACATCTAGGTGTGAGAATCCTCCGATGTGTGTATGTGGAAAACCATTGCACGAGGGTAAGGATGTCCAAGTTAAGCCACACGAAACCTTGAATGTTTCTAAAGGCATCATCTATTGTCGTGACCTTATGAACTGCAGCGAGGAAGAAATACTTGAAGAGCTGAAGGAAGAGAATGTAGTGGCTGTAAAAAGAATGAAAAGAAAAATTGATGGGAATTTTGTGGACACCCCTAATATTATACTTACTTTTAATTCAACCCAACTACCTAAAAGAATTATTGCAGCCTTCTATAGCTTAAATGTGCGGCCATATATCCCTTCGCCGATGCGTTGTTACAGATGCCAAAAGTTTGGGCACACAACATCTAGGTGTGAGAATCCTCCGATGTGTGTATGTGGAAAACCATTGCACGAGGGTAACCCATGTGATACGCCTATGGTATGTCCAAACTGTAGTGGAAACCATCCTGCCAACTCCAGATCATGTCCTGTGTACAAACTAGAATTAAAAATCCAAGAGGCCAAAGTCACCCGAAAAGTAACGTATCCGGAAGCGAGACGCATGACAGGTAGTGCGGTGACCTCGGGGAATCTATACTCGAGTGTGACAGCACGTAATGTAGAACATGACCAACGCGACATTGTACCTGAAATTAGAAAAATAGTGAAAGAGGAAATGAAACAACTTACCTCCGTGATGATACAACATATAAAGGAGTCGCTCCCGATGCTAGCGACTAGTACTGAAAACTTTGCTGTGCCTAGTACTGAAAACTTTGTTATGCCATCAACACGAGAAACCCCCAATGAAGACCCCATGCTTATGGAAGATGAGTCCAGAGGCGCCAAAAGGAAAACCCAATTGGCACGAAACCCATCTACGGACTCGAGTGTTGCGTCCGTAGATGATAAGACGCTAGAAGAAGCGAAACATCCAAAAAAGAAAAAAGGATGGCCTAAGGGCAAACCCAGAGGCACTAGTAGCCAACGGGAAGCCAAAGAGCCCGACAAATAGCGCGTGATAAGATTGTGATATTTTATACTCTGTGATATCCACGTTTGTGTATTCCATATTTACAAATATTTGTTTAAAATGTTATTGTCTATTCGTGTGCATTTTTTATATGTTATATGTCTTTATATTTAAATTATTCGTTATATTCGAGTCAAATAATTCTATTATTCAATGGAACTGTAGAGGCCTTGTGAAACGATATACAGATCATAAAATGCTTTTACACGAACTAAACCCCATGTGTCTGTGCATACAAGAAACTCACCTTAACCCTCATCAGCCATATTCTCTCAGAGGATATGACATCGTTCGAAATGACTGTGTTAGCCGAGAAAGAGCCGCGGGCGGTGTTGCTATGATGGTTCGAGACGGAGTGCGATTTGAACGGCAGATATTGAACACTCGTCTCCAGGCAGTATCCATTAAGATAAGTACACCGATGAAGTTGACCGTCTGTAACATATACCTTCCCGATGGAAATTGGGAGATAAGGGATCTTGAGAGTATTGTTGGGCAACTTTCCACGCCATTCCTGGTGGCTGGAGACTTTAATTCGCACAACACTCTTTGGGGTTCTTCCAAGAATGATGCCAAAGGCCGAGCGATTGAAGAATGGTTGACGAGGGATGACATAGCGCTACTCAACACCGGCTCACCCACCTACCACAATGCTCGATCCAATTGCTTCGATGCGCTTGACCTTACCCTAGTCTCACCGACACTAATACCCCGACTGACATGGAAAGTCATCAATGACCTGCATAATAGCGATCACTTTCCCATTATAATTGAAACCGACACCACCGTACCTGATAGAGCTGTAACAAGACGGTTCCTCACTGCTAACGCAAATTGGTCGCTATTTCGCCAAAACCTTGTAAAACCTGCCAGTATTAGCGTCCAAACAATAACGGACACAATACTGAATGCTGCAGAGAACAGTATACCGAAGTCGGGAAACGTTCCGGTGAAAAAACCACTGCCATGGTGGAACCAGGAGGTCAAAGAGGCAATAAAAAATAAAAAGTCAGCATTCCGAAAATATCAACGGCAGCCAACGATAGAAAATCATGTTGCTTTCAAAAGAGCGAGAGCTATTAGTAGGCGAGTTGTCCTTGAGAGCAAGCAGCAAAGCTGGATTAAGTATACATCTACTATTACCGCAAGTGCAGATATCAATAACGTCTGGAAAAAGATCAAAGCCATCAACGGAAAATATAAAAGTCAAATAATACACTCTATAGAAATATCCCCAGATGTTATTACGGAAGACCCAGTCGATATTGCAAATGCGTTGGCCAACCAATTCGCAAGAGCAAGTAGCTCTGCGAACTATCCCCTCGTTTTCTCCAACGTGAAAAATGAAAGAGAAGCGGAGCTATTCTTTGAAGCAACCAGTGATCTAGAATATAACGCGTCATTTATTATCGAAGAACTCGAGTTTGCTCTCAAACGATGCAAAAGGACAGCGCCTGGGCATGATTTGATACCCTATGAAATGCTGCTTAATCTCACACCTGAAATTAAAACAAGCCTTCTACAATTATACAATAAACTTTGGCATGAAGGTACTTACCCAGAAGATTGGAAAGAGGCAGTTGTTGTACCGATTCTCAAGCCTAGCAAAAATCCACTGAGTCCGGCCAGCTACCGTCCAATCAGCCTCACATGCTGTATGGGAAAACTATTGGAGAGGATGATTAATAACAGACTGCAATGGTACCTGGAAAAACACAATGCACTAGTTCCATATCAGGCTGGGTTTAGAAGGCACAGATCTACAACTGATCACCTGATCCTACTCGAGCATGCGATTCAGGGAACTTTCCGTGAGAGAAAACACCTGATCGCTGTCTTTTTCGATATAAAGGCAGCATATGATATGACATGGAGACATGGCATACTAAAAAAACTGTTTAATCTAAATTTTAGAGGAAACTTGCCCCTGTTAATAAAGTCTTTCTTAAGTCACAGACGTTTTCGGGTCAGAATTGGAGACACATTTTCTGAGACCAAAATGCTCGAAAATGGAGTCCCGCAAGGATCTACCCTGACCTGCACCTTGTTTGCTCTGGCAATTAATGATATTGCATCGAATGTCTCCATAGATTGCTCCAAATGCCTATACGTCGATGACATCGCCCTGTTCTGCTCGGGTAAAACTGTTGGAGAAATAACCCGTAAACTCCAACCCGCGATAGATCAAATAACTACGAATGGAAATAGTATCGGCCTGAGCTTCTCTAGAGATAAAACTCAATGTGTACACTTCTGCAGATTACGTAAACCGCACTATGACCCCGTATTATTCTTGTCAGGCGATCCAATCAGATGTCTTCGTACCGCAAAGTTCCTGGGCCTTACACTCGATGATTCCCTTACCTGGGAACCGCACCTAAAACAGTTAAAAAAAAAATGCCTCCAAAGTCTCAATATAATTAAGGTACTGGCGCACACCAAGTGGGGTGCAGAAACAAAATGCCTCATAAGAATATACCAGGCTGTGATTTTGTCGAAAATTGACTACGGCTGCATAGTGTATTCGTCCGCACGTAAATCGACACTTGCAACCTTGAACAGCATACATAACACAGCCATAAGGTACTGTCTTGGAGCTTTTCCTACCAGTCCGACGAACAGCTTATATTGTGAGTCGGGAGTACCGGCCTTGGACACTAGAAGAAAACAACTAATTGCAAGCTATATGACTAAAATTTCATCATTGCCATTACATCCTAATAGGGTGATACTCAACATAGACATGCAGTTGTACAGACTGAAACCTACCATTACCCGCCCTGCCTGTATCAGATTCCAGGAACATCTCGAGCAACGCCGAATAGTCCCTCCAGCGCCGCTCCATGAAATGATGCTGGACACTGTCCCGTGGAAGGTACCTGAAATAAAAATAAGAAAAGATCTAATGCGCTACAAAAAAGAGATTACAAAACAACCCACTTACCTGCAGGCATACGAGAACCTCCTTAACGAATATCCCTCATACCAACCTGTGTACACGGATGGGTCCAAGAACGCGTATGGGGTGGGAAGTGCTATAGTCACCGAGGGCGTAGCATACGAGTGGAGCTTGAATACAAACTCTTCGCCCATCTTTGCAGAGCAGTATGCCCTATGGCAGGCTGTGCTATACTGTTCAATGATGGAAAACAACCGATTTTTAGTTGTTACGGACTGTATGAATATCCTAAATGGGCTAAAGAAAATCTACAACACAGATCCGATGAACATCATGCTACAGTCTGCTATACATCGTATTTCGGAGCAAGGTAAATCACTCGAATTTATTTGGGTCCCTAGCCACGTTGGTATCTTTGGCAACGAACAAGCAGACCAGGCCGCTCGTAGAGCGATATCGAACCAGCAGACAGATGTAAATTTCATGGTGGCAAGTGACATCAGAAGACACCTAAAAGAGCAATATGTTGCAGAATGGCAAGAAAAATGGGCACAGGTAAATACTCACCTGTCGCAGATAAAACCTATTCCAACGACACTATACACGCTACAAGATGCCTCGAGAGAGGACAACGTGAAAATGCACCGTCTGAGGATAGGACACACTAAGGTCACACACGAACATCTGCTAAAGAATACTGTACCACGACAATGTAATCACTGCAATACGGCCATCACGGTTACTCATATTATAAGCCATTGCCCACTATACAATAACGAGCGATTGATAAACGGTATACTGCCCAACTACATCGACAATTTTATAAACCCTGAAAATGCAATGAAGATGGTGAGATTTTTGAAAATGATTAATATATACGCTGATATATAATATGCTTAGTGAATTAAAGGGGATATGACCTTAGTAGTTGAACCCTACAAAAAAAAAAAAAAAAAAAAAAATTATGCAAATGAGCCGATGATGAAACGAGAGAACAAGTTCCTATAGTAAGATGACTAAACCCTCCTTGTCCACCCACAGAGAAATTCATTTGCGTTTAACCGTTCACAGTTATAGTGCTAATACGAAAACGTCCTCGGCCGACCACGATTGAGTGTGATTATTTTCACTAAGTGACACGCCAACTTCGCTCCAAATAAGGTTGCAGGATGGATCATGGGACACTTTAATTGACGATTGGGTTAGATAGCGCCAACTTGGCACTTGATAACCTCAGGTTTTAGAGGTTCCACCCTGTATATACAACTTACGACGATACATGCATTTTTGAGAGTTGGCAACCATGCAATTTCTAGGTGGGAAAAAGCTGCCTGCGCCATCTAAAAAGCACGAACGGGGGTTACGTTTCGCATCTTGTCTTGAATGGCGGTCGTGAACGCGTCGCTCCATAAATGTTTGTTGTTATTTTGTGTTTTTTTAATGCAGGTAGTAATCTTTGCATTTCTTTATATCGTATTTGTGTTTTGTATGCGACATTTTATATTTTCTGTGTTTCAATCTTTGTTTTTGAAATTTATTTGGTTTAACCGCAATGCATAATCACGTATGTGATATCGTTATGCTATTGTTTGTACTTGTTTACGTTTTTGGTGTAATGCTTGCTTAATAATTTATGTTTATTGATGTTGATTACTTGGTCTTGTCCCTGAAGTAACATTCATATAAGTATCATTTTATTTTAATATGTGGAAATTACCGATTCGTTTGATGTATGTACTGACTTGTTGTTTGTAACTAACATTTTCTCCGCGAATGAAGCAGTCACTGTAGTCAAAATTGAGCTATGACACCTAATTCCGTAATTGTCTTCGACTTTCAACTGTAGGCTCGAAACCCCGAAACCAGGGGCGGGTTACCTATCTTGCAGGAGCGGGATTACGCTAATCAAATCTCTTCAGTTTAGAATCTATGTGCGATAAATGGGTGGCGATTCAATAATTTCCACATATTTGTACAGTTAGATAAATTTGTCTACAAGGCCATGTAATTTTCCATCTTGCTTTTAACAAAAGGACTTTATTGCACTAAAGATGAGTCACATTCTGTGTATTTCACCCTTTCTTAGAATCTTGGGACCTGCTTACCTGATCGATATTTCCCAAAACTTGTTTTTAACTTATATGTTACCTCTTGAAGTCTACATGCTACTTTTTGTGATGTTATAATTTTATGTTACGCATTCAACAATTAATTTTACAACACAATTTGATATTAATTTGACGGATGGTTTTTTATTGGTAAGTTCTTTTGTTCCCAGCTTATTTCTATTTTTATTCGGTGAACTACCATTTTCAAAGTTTATTTTTGCAATGTAATGTATTTCGACTTAAATTTCCGAGCTTTCACAATCTTAACATTTGCGATCATTATTAAACACACTTTTCACAATTTGAGTGTTTTATCCTTAGACCATATAGTACATGGACTGCTATTCGCCCTATGCTTTCAATACAAAATGGATGGTCACGGATAGAGGGCACTGTAGTCGTGGGTATGTGAATCTCAGGGTAAACTAAAGTCGTGTAAACACCACTAGGATCGCGTAAAGAGCAGCTTTATAGTAACCGCGTAGTACGGGAACCTTATGCTCTTCATTATTTGCTATACGTCCACAAATAAGAATAAGTTTGCTTTTTTTGGGATATCTAGGCGATTAATTAATTGACGTTTGTTAATTTATAGGTTGACAGTCTCAAATCGTGTCTCATCAGACAACTTCGGGCAGACTCGTTTACCCTGAAACTCACATACCCAGGCGATGTCCTTGACCATATTTTAGTTACAATTAGCAGTCCATGTACTATATGGTCTAAGGTTTTATCTTACGTTCCTTCCCTACTGTGCTTCAGGTCAAAGCATAGAGGGCCCTGCTTTAGATGTTTTATCACGTGCCACTTTTCAAATTTAAGCGGGATCTTGTTTAGTTTTGGAGGGAATAGTCATTCGGGTGGCCATTTTTAAACGTTGCCGGGTTGACTTTATTTCCGCGTTCTTGTAGTGTGAAGTTAGTGTAGAACATAATATGGTGTAGAACCTGTGCAGAAGGTCAATATCCAAGGTTAAAAATGCTGAAAACCCAGGAGCTCTTGATATACACCAACGGTTCACAGATTAAGGGTAGGTACGACTGGAAATGTGTGCCTGAAAACTGAAAGGGTTTGAAAATAAAGGTTCCAGGCACAAGACTCAAACCTCAAAACATAAAGATTAAGATCAAAATGTGCAAGGTTTATGTAAGGTTCAAATTTCAAGGCCCAGGGTTGGAATCTAGGCTCAATTCTCCTGCTTCAAGACACATAACTTATTATTAACGGTACAACGTTAAATAGTCAACGCTCAAGACACATACAGGGTTCAGTGCTTGAAGCCCAAGCCACAAAGTGACTCCAGACACCTGAAGATAGAGCCCTAGGGATCAAGATTCAATGCATAATACTTACTCTAGGACTTAATGTCTACGACACTTCGAATATGGATGTCAGTCGGTTCGATATGGGTGGCACGAATTAACTCCTACGTTGTGTAATCGGTTCTTGTAAGTGTTGGGACGTGAGACATAACCGGGACAGAACTTTTGTGCGTAAGAAATGACAAGAACAAATAAATATGTTACGCGCACAAGAAGACGATGTCAGGGAAACCTTCTACGGAACAAAAACCTCGGCATAGGCTACACAAATACATGAATTAAATCACCTACAGCAATAAAATGTAAGAGATACACATAAATAAAACATCTCAAATTGTATGATAAAAATCAGATAATCAAATCAAATGCAATTAAACAAGTTCATAAAAACAAAATACACAAGACATCATAAATGCAGTGGAAAACCTGATAAATCAATTCAGTACAAATACACATCAAAATACCTGTACGATCAATTGAGCTAACACAACTCGTGAAATAATAAATTGCATGTACATAGGAAACATGTAAATGGTGTGGCTCTACTCCAGTCCTCAATTAACATAAATTAATTTAACACGAAAAGTACATGTGAGAATGCTAATAGCAAGTATTCATGTGAAAATCGATTATCGCTCAAACAGAACATATTTTAAATAGAGAAAATGTTAATGAGAGGGCCCCTAAATATCTCGCATTGCTAAGTGCCAAGAACTGCAATCCGCACGAAACGAGTAGGCAACAGATACAGCGAAACGTCAAACTGTATTTGGTACCTACTCCACGGAGACAGAATGAACCACTCACACACACAAACATCGAAACATCAAATAAGGGAGCCCCCCGTCGTATAGTTAACGCACAAGAACTGCAGCGCGCCACGAATATGAAAGTAACAGATACAGCGAATAATCAAACTGTATTAGGTACCTCCCTCACGGAATAGTTACGAATCAATCGAACAGAGCAACATCGCACTGATAATCAACTCCTCGTGAATACAGAAATAAAAACTTAATAAAACAAAATCACCTGTACAGTATAACAAACACGATTCATCTAACGGTATTCAAAAACAAAAGCATGGAGTACGCCATATTTAGATATCGCAGTTTAAGCAAAATCAGCAAAATGTAAATAATATCAAATTGCGGCAAGAAATTCAATGATTAATAGCTAGTACAAGAAAGAATAAAATGATTACTACCTGTAGATTTCAGGGGTAATCGCTCGAAATTGTTGTGTTATACCATAGTGTATTCTATTCTTACACTATGGTTATATGTGCTCGCAACCCTTGTAATGTTCCGGGGCGGAGTAGCATAAACTTTACTCTTTAAATATCCCCACAAGAAGTAATCTAAAGGACTTAAATCAGGGGGAAAAAACCATTTCAAATGCGAATATCTCCGAAACGAATGAATAGAATTTAAAAAGCAAAGCAGATTAGTAATCACGATTAAATTGGCTTTCAAATAAGGTGCCATTTGCCATTGGATTCCATTTAAAATTTTAGGGGTTACGCCCTCTATGTAGAGGGGTGAAGACTTGGGTTCGTGATTTGTATTCCAAAGGGTGTCCCCCTCAAATACAAAATTAACGTGTTCGAGGATTTTTCGAAATTTCTAAATTTATTACCCTAAAAGCCCTTTGTATACAGAGCATATTATTATACATATTTTTGTTTCAGATGTAAAGGTGTGTTGCCTAACCATAAGGGTGGATTATCACAAACTTTAAGATTTTAAGGTCCAAAGTTTCAGAGCAATGTTCAAGATTTTGGTGTAAGGATTAATGTTGAAACCTCAAAAGTCTTACCCCTACACAATTAGGATAACCCTGGATAAGAAATTCCTCCAGGGCCACGTCTAGATTTTCTTTGGTGAAACTTCGGCCGTTTTTACCTTGTGTAGGGTCACCTGTATAACATTCATATCGGCCATGGACTGGACATGGAGCCATCATTTGTCGCTTTGCGACTACTGGGGCGATTGCGTAAATAAGGAGGGACGTCTCCTTTCCTGATTCTTCCGGTGTCTTTCGCTTGGGTCGCTTTCCTTTGGCTTTGGTTGAGCTACGAGCAAAGCATGCTCGCCTGGTTTGGGCAGTTGAGCTTTCCCCGTCTTCCATGGGAGTCACCTTGGTGGATTTTTCTTAGAGCATTCAAAGGAGCGTTCCACCAGAGGGTTGGCCAGACTCCTCAGTGGGTTTGTTTGTTCTTTGTCCGGCCTTTCTCTGTCTGCGAGTGAACAGAATTTGCCTGAGCTTGAAAGCCAATCGTGGATTCTTGGCCGACGTATTGTGGATAAAGAAAAAAATGCAAACTCAGCCTGATGGATAGGCAAGTCGTTATACGCGTCACCATGCGTATTGCCCCCGCCCTTAGGCGAAGCATACACAGCATCCCCCTTGTTTCGTGTCTCTTCGGAAATTAGCGTCCTAAAAGTGTTTGAACTTCGTAAAGCCGGTTTTGTTAGTGGAATGCCGGTTTTGACGTCAGCTCATCAGTAAACCGCGACTCGTGTCTGCGTTACAAGGGGGTTGCAAATCGTGTAGGTACGTGAATGGTAAAATGCCCTCCGTAAACAAACGCGAATTCCGTCCGCTACAATGACTTTTGCGTGAAGGTGGTGCGTGTGTCGGTTTCGCTAACGAAGATGAGCGGAATGAGAAACTTTGTCTACTTCTTGAGCGTTTGTGGTAAGTTCCGCGAAGTTCACCGCCGTAGACTCTCTGCGCGCCGTTGCAAATTGGCATAATTAAAACAATGGCCGTGAAACAAAGCGGCAACAAAACAAAACTCGTGCAGAGTGGAACGTGAGGGAAAAATGTATCCGCGATTGTTTCGCTCATTTACTTGTAGACAAAGCATACAAGCACATTGGACCATGATAAATGTGCTTGTATTGATTATGCATGCTTGGAATAATTTCGAGGGTTGTTGTAAATACGAGAAACTTGCATTTCAGTTTCCGCATCCCTCGGACAGGAAGAGCTTTACTTCTCGCACACCCCCAAAGACGTCGACGTCACCGAGGGCAAATCCGCGAGTCTACCGTGCGAGGTAACTCCAAACAACGGCATCAGCTACTACTGGGAATTAAACGGTAGGTAACGGTCCCTTCCTCGCCACTTCGTCTAATTACCCCTAATTGCAGGTTCGAAAATTGACAACACGACGCGACGCCACCAGCAAGGCTCCAATTTGCATTTCACGAGAGTCGACAAAGAAAAGGATGCGGGAGAATTCACTTGCGTCGCTCAGGATTTAAAAGGATTCTCCATTACGAGCTCCTCCGCCTCTTTAAATATACAATGTGAGTATAGCCCTTTTTTTCCTCTTGGCGCACTTCTACAAATAGCTACGGATGTCATGCGAAATTGACGCGTAACCACACTTCGTATATTTTTAAACCCCGCGCCCGAAAGGAACGCCTGACAGGAAACGTGCATCAAAATAATAACCCTCTTTGAAAATGCAATTATATGGCGTATAAATAAAACAAAGTCGCCGCTAATGCGCTTAAAATTACTTCGTCTTGTGGTGCGGTACGCACTGTATAATTTTATTACACAGCTTTGTGTATATGTTATTAATTGCTTGTAATAAAATTATCGTTCAAAATGGGCTTACATCCTGTATGTGTGTCGCTTCGGACGTATTTCCGAAATAGACGCCTTCTGTTTACGTCGCGGCGTAATCGTAAAGTAAACACGTTCTAATGATTATCTTAAAAAACATTCTTCGGGGGACCGAATTTGGACTTTGACTTACAGAGATATACAATGCTTTTAAACAACACATACATTTTTACTATGAGGATATTTACAGTGTACGATAATTTTTCGCATAAATAGTTTATTTTTCAGTGCACTTCATCATTTCAATGTAGCTATTATTGCACGAAAAGATGAAAGAAATACCGAAAGTGAGACAGCATCTTTCCAAAGTTAACCAACTTTTTGCTCCCGATAAAGATACAAAATACCATAGTTTTAATGGGTAAAGCGCGGCAAACGTGTTTTGCTTCGCATGTTAGAGCACAATTATAGACGGCCATGGTCAAGACCATGTCATCATTCCTTTATATGTACAGGGTGTTGCATCTAAAGACTCCTCGGATCATAATTCCTTTACCCTAAAAGATACCGAAAAAAATTTTAAAATATGTAGTTGTGGTCACCGGTGGCGTGTTGTATTCCAGTGTCGTATCACACAGATTTGGAAAGTACTCGAAAAATTCCTCCTCCCCCCCCCCTCAACGACTTGGTTGTCCCCAAAATTTTTTTGTGAGAACTCGAGCGGCTAAGTTTTGAATTAAGGACTACATGCTTTTACATAACGTATGGGATTTTTGCGTATATTTTTTCAGAATTTGTAAACATTTTCGAGTTTACTTCGATTTTCCGATCATCTCGCCACGACCTTGCACCACAAAAAGGTAGTGGGGATAGTTCCCCCCTTCTACTAACGAATAAGGAGAGTCAGACGAAAGCACGTTTAGAGCGAATTGCAAGTTCTCGGGACAGCCGTTGACAATCCGCATATTAGTGTCTATGAAATTAGTAGAGACACGGACAACATTTAAATGCGGTGTCTGTGCATCGTACTCTTCAAAAGTACAACTAGTGCCCGTTTAAGATTCAACTGCAACAGGATTTCTGCATGGCGCAAGAGGAACCCTATCATATGAGCTTGTTCCATAAAAATTGCGACGTCAACTTCCATTATTACACCGATAAAAATCTGCATTCCATGGTACTACGCATGCGCAAAACCAAATTTTGAAACTGGCGCTACATTTGCTTTTATTCCAAGTGCCTAATTACCAAATTTCATTTAAATGCTTTCGTAAATAAGAAAGTTGGAACTGCGCATGCGCAGAATTAAATTTTGATACTGGCGCTACATTTGCTTTTATCCCCAGTGCCTAATTATCAAATTTCATTTAAATGCTTTCGTAAATAAGAAGGTTGGCACTGCGCATGCGCAAAATCAAATTTTGCAACTGGCGCAACATTTGCTTTTATTCCAAGTGCCTAATTATCAAATTTCATTTAAATGCTTTTGCAAATAGGAAGGTTGGCACTGCGCATGCGCAAAATCAAATTTTGCAACTGGCGCAACATTTGCTTTTATTCCAAGTGCGCTAATTATCAAATTCATTTTAAATGCTCTCATAAATAAGAAAGTTGGTACTGCGCATGCGCAAATATCAGAATTTTGAAACTGCCGATACTTCGCTTTTACCCAGGCCTAAGGAAAAATGTCATTTTAAATAAAAAATAAATAAAAATCTGCAACTTCGTTTCTTAAATGCTCGAGATGTTGAATCATTAGACTCAAATTTGAATTGCGATTATAATGGGCTAGAGCTATGCCCATATGCATACAATGTCGGCTAATACTAACGAGATGTCCAAAAGGGTCTTCCTTATTTTTTTCCACGGACTCCGATCTAAAATTTGATAAAGAATCCCACCTACAAATTTCATCTAATCCGTCCATTGTGATCGAGAATCGTGCAAATGGACTGACGACTCAGGCTCGCTAGGAGCTCGCTTAATAATTCAGTGAAAGGAGTAGCAGAGAAAAAGAGAGATGGCATATTCGCAACTACGTTAAACTTAAAAAATGAAGAGTTTTTATGAAGGAAAAGAAAAAAGCATTTTTATGTGGATATGGTCTATGGATGAGGGCAAAACAAAAAAAGTTATTCTACTTACAACTTGTTCCCAGGCCCCTGTAGAATGAACACAACAATGAATCCCGTTTTTGAGATCTTCATTAGATCGATGAAGGATAAAACAGCCCCCCCCCCCCGCCCATCTCTGTTTTTGATAAAGAGTCAGGAAAGCAGGCGGTAGTTGGTAGAAAAACAGATTCCTTTTTGGTTGGACCTTTAATAGGAATACCATGAAAGAAAGATTTAAGTTCTCCCCGCCCTCATCCCCCGTTACTTCGGATCTCCGGAAAGAAGTCGTGCAGGAAAGTAATAGTTTGTACAAAAACTATGATTCATTTCGGTGAGGCCTTTCATAGAATACCAATGAAGGGTTAGGAACGTGGTTCACCCCCCCCCCCCCCCCCCCCCACTCAATCTTTAAAATATCTACTTGGCACATTTAAAAGTTCAAACAGCGAAATTTGATGGCCGTCTGGTACACCTTCAAGGTACATATTGCAAAAAAATCCAGGGGTCTAGGGCCATTCCTCTAAAAGTACTTCAACACCGCAGATGTGGGTCCGGACGGACGGACAGAACCCAAACAATAGCATATTTTTTTAAATTCTTAAAAAATACGCTAAACAATTTTATAACAGCGAAATCGTTAAAGTCAGAGGTATGTTACATAAAACTTAAGTACTTTCCAATTCTTCAATAAAATATGGGGTGTTCAATTTAAAAAAAGGTAAGTTTGATAAGCCACTGGAATACAGCACGCCACTGGTGACCAGAAATATTTAGGAAACATGGCGACGGTAATTTCACAATTGAAACGTGACATTTATTTAGCGCCCTGAAGGAAGTTAAAATTTAATGGGAAAACAAACCCAATCAAGCGCCGAAGTGATCTGACCTATGACCCCTTGCTTGTGCTGTGTTGATAACAATATCTTCTTTTCCCCCAAATTCACATATCTATGAAAGTACATATCGATTTGATTGATAGTTCATTATTTGACCTGGTGCTTAAACTTGTAAAAACTAGGAGAACTTTAGAACCCTAAAAGAAATTTCATGCCATCCCTTAAAAAACAGAATTTAACCTAGCTCTGTAACTGGAACGGCATCGATAACTAAAATAATCAATAGGTAAGGGTGTATGTATCCACTAAGAATTCAATTTATAGCCTCCGTGTGAGAGAAAACATGAATCTCAATCCAAAACTAAAAACGCATGGCAAGAATGAATAATCAGCCAATATGCGCCGTCCAACGCCATTAAGAACCCACTGATCATAGTTCTTCACGACGAACAATGCTGAACACAAAAAAATATAGTAGCGACGAGCAAACTGTAACATTTTAATACCAAACAATATTGAAAAATACAGCGGACAAAAATTACAGTGATATATTTCGGTGTGGTGTGCGTCTATTGCGTATTTAAAATTATCTATTTCGAATTCTGACGAAAGAGGAAAACAATTACATTATGTGGTTACCATGGTAACGATCAAAAAGAAATTTTATTGCGTTTTACATCGAGGAATCGATATTGGTACTGAATTAAAATCATTAAGATAGTAGGCTAAAATGGACTTGTGGTACGTGGTTTACAATCACATTCTCGTCATTGTTCTTCTCGTTTTTCTAACTCGCACCCTCCATTCTCATTTTCTTCATTTCTATTCTTGTTTCTCATCTTCATGATCTTTATTTTCATTCGCACTGTTGTTATTTGAACAACTGATTTTTGTTCTCATATTCATTATTATCGCGACTGTCAATCTCATTCCCATAATTCTCCTTCTTAATCTTATAGTTCTCATTCGTCATTCTCATCCCCACTCTCTTTTTCCTCATCTTACATACATACGTTTTGTTGGTATATGCACTAAAATATATTATTATTATGGTCGGTGTTTTTTGTGAGAACTCAGGTCTAGCCTGGTTAACTAATCGCACGGATTAAAATCAAGTAACGATTAGTGTCTGTATCTGTGTCTGGTAGTAGGGTTCTAAAAAAAAATAAAAAATATAATATATATTATTATTATTAAATATATTATTATTATTAAATATATTATTATTATTATTATCTTCAAAATTTTCATTCTCAGTTTTATGATTCCTACTCAATATTTTCATCATTGTAGGTTTTCTTTTGATTCTCGTGATTATCGTAAGCCTTTCCACGATTCACTCCCGTGATTCATATTCTCACTGTTATCATGCAGTGATTTTCTTTTTCATATTCACTATTCTTATGATTCCCAGTTGCATTCCCACAATTCTCCTTCTCCTTCTTGTGACACTTTTCATTCCCATTGCGATAATTTTCTCGTTTCTTATCTTCTGGATTCTGATTCTCATCTTTATCATTTTTATTCTCACTGTTCTCATTCTAACAACCTTTCTCTTCATTCTTGGAATTATCGCAAGCATTCCCACGATTCACTCCCGTGATTTACCTTCTCACTGTTATAATTTAGGTAATGATTTTTGTTTTTTTTATGATTCTCATTCACATTGTCATGACTTCCAATTGCATTCTCAAAATGATCCCCCTCGGTCCCGTGAATCGCACTCTACATTCACATTATCATCATTCTCTTTTTTGTTTATTATTTTCAGGATTCTGATTCTCA